TTTCAGTGTTTCTTAAAATAGTTTTGCAGTATTACCTGGAAATAGAAGCAAAATATGAGTCTAATAAAACTTTTCACTTCCAGTGGTGGATCTCAAAGTGCTCTGAAAATGTTAATGAAGTTTTACAGTATCCCTAAGAGAACCAGGAGTTAAAGTTGATGCAAAGGGATTGACTTATCCAGGTTAACACAGCAAATCATCAGCATGTCAGGGACTACGACCCATATCTGTTGACTCTCATCCTATGCTTTAATACCCAGATCATCCTTCCAATTCTGTTACTTGGCCATTCATTATTATTAATCATGTTTATTACTGTAGTGCCTACGGGTCAACCACGAATAGGGCCCCATTCTGCTAAGCATTGTAAAAACACATAGTCCCTTGCCTGAAGACCTTGCTGTTATGGGTTGGGTTAAGGCTTGTTACGGCCAGGCATGCCGCTGCCTGACATTTGGAATAAATATAAAGAAGCCATTGTAATCAGATGTCTGAAACAATAGCAGTAACACCCCAGGCACGTGGAAAAGCTGAGTAGAAGCTGAATCCAAGAGGGTTCAAATGCCAGGACTAGCGCTTTAACTGGTGGAACTAGTTTGGTCAGCATGTGAGTATCTGTTTGAGAGAGACAGCACAGGGAGAGATACAGAGAGAAGCAGAACGAAAGCCAAGCAGATACAGCCTGGAAGCATGGTGGGTGGCCCTGGGATAACATTAGAGAAAAGTTTTTTGCATCAGAGTGCTGGCTGAAAGAGTTTGATGCTGTGAGCAGGGAAGCTGTTTGCTGATTTTTGGATCCTTCTGTGTTTGGAGAAACAGGACTTACATTATTTGTTAATAAACAAGATTGAATCAAAGGTATCTGAATCCATCTATTTCTCCTCCCAAGTAGAACAGCATGAAGGGCCCCAAACTTAGATTAGCCACTTGGGTCAGAAGGGGTAACATTACTATCTAAATAGAGCAGATGGACACAGGGTGGGGGGAAGCGGTATAACAGAAAAGCAGGGTAAACAATGTGGTGGCAGCAAATGTCAGGTTAGGTGTACATTCAGATGAACATTCTTTTCAGAAAAAAGATGACTGACGCCAAGCTAGAAAAAGTTCTATTTACCAGCAGCCCAGCAAAACCAAACATTTTTGTTCTAGGCTTGTGTAATTTTAATTGTGTGCTGCCCACCAGACAAGCTGTGGATGAACACTTAAAAATCCTTGGTTCAGCCTGTGGCTGACAATGAAAACTGGCCTTTTGTCACTTTCTTTGCAAATGCCACCGAAGGGCATAACAAATGGATGATTTGCCCATCTAGCTCCTTTGCTGAATTAATCTTCTGGCTTTGTTCATCCAGATGACACAATTATTTAGGGTAATCAAGACAAGTGGAGACTGAGGAACTTCAGAGGGACCTAACAAAGCTAGTTGAATGGGCAACACAATGGCAGATTAAATATTAATAGGTCCAAAGTAATATTCCTTCCCAAACTGGGAAGAATAATTTGATTTGTTCATACACATTGTTGGATTCTACATTAACCGTGTTACCACTCAAGAAATGGACCTGGCATCACTCTGAATAGCTCAATTAAAACCGTTGTACATTGTGCAAAGATAATCAGAAGCGCTAACAAGACGAGAAAACCCGTGTGCTTTTGAAAATGGGACCTAGTCCTCCCAAGTCACATAGGTGCTTTTGAAAATGTTACCAAGTATTTTTTAAAAATGTACCCAACATTATTAAAAACCGCTTTCATAAGGGATAATAAACTCATGCTTCATGGTAAGCCAGTTGCTAATTGACCGGGTTAGGAAGAAACTTCTCCTATTGGCAGATTATTCTATTACAGTCTGCTTCGGGATTCCTTATACCTTCCGCTGAAGTATCTGTACTGACCACTCCTTGAGAGTTTGTCTACAGGAACATTTAGTTTGTGGCAAACCTGGGTATGAATCTACCCCACCTCAACATGAGTCAACAATGCGATGCTGTTGCAAAAAAAGTAAATTCAATGTTGGGTTGCATTGACCAGAGGTATAGCATGAAAGTCACGGGAGGTGATAGTACCACTCTACTCAGCACTAGTTAGGCCTCAGCTGGAGTACTGTGTCCGATTTTGGTAACCGCTGTATGGAAAGGATGTAGAGAAACTGGAAAGGATCCAGAGGCGAGCGACAAAGATGATCACAGGGATGGAATGCAAGCCATAGTGGCAAAGGTGGAAGGAACTGGGTATGTTTAGTTTGGGAAAGAGGAGTTTAAGGGGGGACATGATAGCGGTCTTCAAATACTTGAAATGCTGCCATAAGAAAAATGGGAAAGAATTGTTCTCTCTTGCCACAGAGACCAGGACAAGAGGCAATGGGTTCAAACTACAGCACAGCAGATTTAGATTAAATCTCAGGAAAAACTTCCTAACTTTAAGAACAGTAGGACAGTAGAACAAACTGCCTAGGGAAGTCATGAAATCTTCACGAGGTTTTCAAAAAGAGGCTGGATAGCCATCTGTCTTGGATGATTTAGACGCAACAAATCCTAGGTCTTGGCAGGGAGTTAGACTAAATGACCCTTGTGGTCCCTTCTAACCCTGTGGTTCTATGATTTACACTAGCCTGCTGAGGACGAACTGTCTGTGTGGACCCTGCTGACACGTGTTAACAATTTGTTAATGTACTTTGATCTAGTCCCATTTCAAAGAGGATAGATCACAGCGCATTACCCAAGTGTTAATGCATGTCAACAGGGTCCACACACAGTTAGTCGGTGCAAACTAGATTCAGACCCCAACTTGTTGCAAACTAAAGGTTCATGTAGATAAGCCCTGAGACATAATACTGGACTAAATGGACCACTAGTCTGATCCAGTATGGGAAGTCCGATATTCTCATCCTCTGTACATACATGTCAAATTAGGAGTTAAAACAACAATAGGGATTAGTAATGCAGTAAAATGAAATGTAAGTTCTATGTAGATCAAGGCGTGAGGTAACTCCTTTAAATGATTTCACTTAAGCGTGCCCCATCACATTCTAATTCAGTTTGGTTCTTTCTTCCAGGCCGCCATAGTGCTGTGTATGGATGTAGGCTTTGCAATGAGCAATTCTGCTCCTGGAGAAGAGTCTCCGTTTGAACAAGCCAAGAGGATGATGACGATGTTCGTGCAGCGACAGGTACGTGTGATTTCCATTTGAGTATGATACACTTAAAAGGTTAGAAATGAAAGAAGGAAAACAGTGAGGCTTGCTAGACTCTTTTCTTCATCCTTTTTATTTGATTATATTGTGTTTAGCTGGGAAAGTAGTTAGAATTATTCTAATTGACTGTTATATGTGACAGGTTTCAGGGGGGTAGCCGTGTTACTCTGTATCAGTAAAAACAACGAGGAGTCCTTGTGGCATCTTAGAGACTAACAAATTTATTTGGGCATAAGTTTTCGTGGGATAACCCACTTCATCAGATGCATGGAGTAGAAAATACAGTAAGCAGGAATAAATATACAGCACATGAAAAGATGGGAGTTGCCTTACTAAGTGGGGGGGTCAGTGCTAATGAGGCCAATTCAATCAAAGTGGATGTGCCCATTCTCAGCAGTTGACAAGAAAGTGTGAGTATCAACGGAGGGAAAATTATTTTTTGTAGTGACCCATCCACTCCCAGTCTTTATTCAGGCCTAATTTGATGGTGTCAAGTTTGCAAATTAATTCCAGTTCTGCAGTTTCTCTTTGAAGTCTGTTTTTGAAGTTTTTTTGTTGAAGAATGGCGACTTTTAATTCTGTTATTGAGTGTCCAGGGAGATTGAAGTGCTCTCCTACTGGCTTTTGAATGTTACAATTCTTGATGTCTGATCTGGGTCCATTTATTCTTTTGCACAGAGACTGTCCTGTTTGGCCAATGTACATGGCAGAGGGGCATTGCAGGCACATGATGGCATATATCACATTGGTTGATGTGCAGGTGAATGAGCCCTTGATGGTGTGGCTGATGTGGTTGGGTCCTATAATGGTGTCCCTTGAATAGATATGCAGACAGAGTTGGCAACGGGGCTTATTGCAGGGGTTGGTTCCTGGGTTAGTGTTTCTGTTGTGTGGTGTGTAGTTGCTGGTGAGTATTTGCTTCAGATTGGGGGGCTGTCTGTAAGCGAGGACTGGCCTGTCTCCCAAGGTCTGTGAGAGTGAGGGATCATCCTTCAGGATAGGTTTTAGATCCTTGATGATGTGCTGGAGAGGTTTTAGTTGGGGGCTGTAGGTGATGGCTAGTGGCGCTCTATTACTTTCTTTGTTGGGCCTGTCCTGTAGTAGGTGACTTCTGGGTGACCCAAGTGCTAACCCTATTCAATAACAGAATCGTTGTTTTTACTGTTATATGTGAGAGCAACACTGGCCTTTCTCCCAGCAGATTTTTGTGGACGACAAGTGCACCTAGCTTGATCGCTCCCCTTTTTTAAGCTAGAAGAGACTTTCATGGGAAAAAGTGCTGGCGTCTTATAAAATGTTTCAGCATTGTTAAAATTTAGCATCATGCAGAATTACTCTAGGAACTGAGTGATCTGATTTTACTCATTTCCCGCATATGTTGATCAGTAGTACTCATAGCAGCCTGCTAGCTGAATTTAATTCTACGTTAATGAGCTCTGCGTATGCATACATTTTGGAAGGGCTGTGTATGTGGTAGCATGGAGTCTGCTGTAATTGATACCTAGTTGCAAAATTTGTATAATATGCTTTCTATTTAACATATGTATGTACAACACAGTGTATATTTTTGAATTTTTTTTGTACCTTCTCCATCTCCAGGTGTTTGCTGAGAGCAAAGATGAAGTCTCTGTAGTTTTGTTTGGCACAGATGGCACGGAGAATACCCTTGCCAGTGGTGATCAGTATCAGAACATTACTGTACAAAGACACCTGATGCTACCGGATTTTGATTTGCTGGAGGACATACAAAACGCAGTTCAACCAGGCTCTGAACAAGCAGACTGTATCCTCTCTGGCTGTACAAAATCTCTGAACTAGATAAAGTAGCATGGAGGACTGGGAGCTAATGTTGTGAAATTGTCCCAGAAGTGTTGTTGAAGTCATAATTACTATTAAACATGTATTGTTCTTTTGAATTTAGGAGTTGACAGTTTGCACAAGAGCCAGTTTTCCAGATTAACCAATTTTCAAAGTTCTGATGTTAGGTGGAGTCCTGGCCCCAGTGAATTGTTTCTAGTATAAAGTACTGAGTTAATTAAGCTTTGAGCATTTCTGGTATCTTCTTCTGCATGAGACAGAGAGAGAAAAAAATATAGCAAAGAGATAATGTCAGATTAGGCTCAAAATATGTTTGTTTGTTTGTTTTTAAAGGGACTTACAAAGCCTAATGCAAAATAGGTTTTCATCAAATTAAACCTATGAAAACTTAAAAAAAAAAAAAAAAAAAATTAACCCTCCCACCAAAGGGAAGCCCAACACAGCTGCATGTGCTTAGGCATTTCAGATTGATCAGTCCTCATTTTGCTGTGAAATGCATACATTAAGAAAAGTCACTTTTGTTAGTAACGTAGGTGAGAGTTTTTGAAAGTGTTCCTCTGAACATTTCATTTGAAATTTTTCGCCATTTCTCTCTGTTCTCCTTCTCCACCCAAAAAATAATTATTTCATTTGTAGTCAGGTTGGCAGAGCAGCGTCAGAGGAGCCTGCAGCCAGTCAACTGTATGTTGCCACAAACTGAATCATATTCTCGGTTTGATGGGTAAGGAGGTATGTACATGGATGCGATCTATCAAGGGACTTAGGTGCGTAAGTCCTGTTTTTAGGCACCATTGCGATTCACAAAACTCTAGTTCAGCTGCTACCTAACCTGGAGATGCCTTAACTCACTTGGCACCTAATTTTTTTCCTCTGGGTGTGTACACTGCAGCCTCATTCTAGTCGCCTGGTCACCTATCTCCCACCTGAGCATGCACACTACTGCCTTGCAATAGGTCATCTGGACACCTATCTCCCATGTAAGCCCCAGAGTAATTCACAGACTGGGAAATAAAGGCATCTGGCTGCCTAAGTTGCATGTGGGGGCATGATCCGGTAGGTGGCCTCTAAGCATGGCTGCTGGATCCGGGTCCCTCAGGCGAGTTCACACACAACAGCTGGGGATGGAAGGAGAGGGCTCTCTTGTGACCTTTAGCCCAGTGGATAGGGTACTCACCCAGGATGTTAGAGACTCCCATTTAAGTCCCCTGTCCTGCTGAGAGAGAAAACGGATTTGAACAGGGATCTGCCCCTGTCAGGCTAACGCTAGGCTATAGAATATTCTGATATGGGTCTCCATTAGTCTCTCCAGTTGAAGTTGTTCCACTTTTATTAAACAATTGAATAATTAAATATTAATTGAACCAGTGAAAAAGTTAGAGTAACTCTATAGCCTAGTGGTTAGGGCCCTCTCCTGAGAGGTAGCTGATCCCTCAGGAGGAGGTGGAACTTGAACCGGGGGTCTCCCACATCCTGAGTGAATCTCCTATCTCTTAGGCTAAAAGTTATAAAGGAGGTCTGCCACCTCAACCCACCAGGCTGTTTTGTTTCAGGCCCCCACACAAACCTAGGTGGCCTATGCCTGTCTTCCTCGGGTCATGGATTACTAGCAGTGCTAGGCGACTTCTTGCAGCCTGGACTTAGGAGCCTATCTCTGAGAGAGGGGTGGGACTTAATACCCCCCCTCTGGTTGGCATCTCTCACTGGCTAGCTCAGGCGGCTCCCTGCCCAGTGTGCTGGCTTTGTTGTTCGCAGCCTAAGGTGCCTGTCTCTCCCCATTTGTTGTCTGGGTAGCCGAGGTGCCTAACTCGGGCTTTGTGGATGGCAGTGTTGTGCCTGTGATTTTCTAGGTGCCTAAAAGTTAGGTGCCATGATGCAGTGCCTAGGTCCCTCTGTGGATCTGGGCCACAGATCCCTGAGCACAGAGATAAGAGCACATCCTTAATGAAATTACTTGAGAAAAGAAATGTATCAGGAGATGTAAGAAATAGATGTTTATTAAGAAAAGGGGAATTATAGTGAAAAATGATGTCATATTTTGAAACGACATGTAGTTTTCAGTCATGGATACCAAATAAAGAGATGATGATAATACAAAAAGTCTAGGTGATAAATGTTTTCATTGGGCTCGATTCTGCTCCTATCATAGCTTTGCTCTTGATTTCAATAGCAGGATTGGTCCCTGGTAATAGTCTTCCCTTTAAAAGTGCAGGGAAAAGACAGGGTTGTAGGAAAGGCAATAGGTAGTTTTAATAGGTGCTAGTTTGGTTGTCATACACTAAAATGGTTTAACTGTCTCTGCGACCGCTAAAATAAAGAGAAAAACGGGTATGTTTGTGACGCAGTCTTGTTCTAAATGTCTTTTGTCTTTAACTCGCTTAGTCCTGGATGCACTTGTCGTGTGCATGGACTTGCTTCAAAAGGAAACAATGTAAGTACTGCAACCCGGGGACTTGCACAAGAATTCTGAAATGGAGTTTTGAGAGCTGAGCTGACTCCACTTTAATGCTGCAAGGTTGTGTGACTAGGGAAGATGCTGCTTTTTTAAAAACCACCACAATGAAAAGCTGTTCCTAAAAAACCCACTAGAGACACCCAACCTCCCCAAGCAATTTAAGACACTTGAATAAGAGCTTGCCCACTTAGGGAAGTTATACTGGTATAAACTAAGGTGTGAATCTAAACTAATATAATTATACCAATCTAGCTCTTTGAGTTGACGCTCATATTCTGGTTATAAGAAAGCCTTTTGTTGCTTGGGCAGGGTTTAAGATAACTGAATAAAGCCACTCTTATTCTGGCATAAGAGTGTCTACATGGGTGTTTATACCAGCATTACTATACTGGTTAACTATTCCAGTATAACTGGTAAAACTTTCTTGTGTAGACAAACCTTAAATAGGTTTTACAATGTGCTCTTCAGGTCAATAAATTTGGACTTGTTTGGACTAATGAGGGAAGTAAACCCTTGAGAATACCTTGTACAGTATCCAGCTGCCTAGGGATGAAATCCATATACTTAATTGGAGCATCCGAGCTAATCTTCACTGTCAGGAAGGAGCTTAAGTATACAGAAGTAGCCTCTAAGGGTATGTCTAAACTGCTGCTCGGAGCATGCTTCCCAGCACAGGTGGACAGACATGGGCTAGCTCTGATCGAGCTAGTGTGCTAAAAACAGAAATGTGGCTGTGATAGCACGGGCAGCAGCTTGGACTAGCCGCCTGAGTATATACCCAGGAGGTTGGGTAAAATGCATTCTGGTGGCTAGCTTGAGCCACCTCCCCTGCTGCCAGGGCCCCAGTACTATTTTTAGTGCACTAGCTGGAGGAGTATGTCTACGCGTGCTGGGAATTACACCTCCCAGCTGCAGTGTAGACAAACCCTAGAGACCTGCCTAGATAAAGAGAAATGCTTTTTTCAATTGCGTGAGCTTAACAGGATTGGAAAAAAACCCTTAACATCCATGTAGACACAGTTTAACACCTTTATAATCATGGTCTTGTAGCCTGGGAGGAAGTAGCCAGCACCTTAGTAAACACCAAGGACCAGATCTTCATTGGTATAGACTGGCATAGCTCCATTGACTTCAGTGTAGTTAAACTAATTTATGTCAGCTGAGGAGCAGGCTTTCCATTCACTTGGTGGGGAAAAAAAAAATCAGAAAAAAGACACAGACTTCCCCTGAATAATAATAAGAAAGAACAAACCATGCTGATTGGATTTGTTCTTGTTGTACTTAAGGGCAGCATATCTTGATGTTTACAGACTTCTGTTACAAGAAGTTCTAAACTTTATTAGAGATACAGTTTTACATTTTTTAAAATAAGTGTTCAGCAAATGATGCAACAGGATTTTTTTATTTCAACAAATCTTCTGTTTTTATTGTTTAAGAGGAAAGAAATATGAGAAACGACACATTGAGGTGTTTACAGACCTTAGCAGTCCCTTCAGTGAGGATCAGCTGGAAATTATCATCGCTAACTTGAAGAAAACAGGAATCTCACTGCAATTTTTGTAAGTGTGGAAATAGCTCTAAAGCATCTTCACAGCTCTGTGCCATTTTCATTACATAATTACAGCCATCTTAAATTGTCTGCTGTTGTGGTAAGTGCTGTGGTTTGGTGTAAAGGGGCCACTCCCTGTAATATTATTATTATTTGAATTACTGTAGTGCCTAGGAATCACGGAACAGGACCTTGTTGTGCTAGGCGCTGTGCAAATTCAAAAATAAAAAGATGGCCCCTTCCCCAAAGAGCTGGCAATCTCAATATAAAACAAGAGACAATAGAGACAGACAGACAGACAGACGGGGGGAATACAAGGAAACAATAAGACAGTATTGGTCAGTATGATAGGCAGTGGTCTCAGCACGCCAGCAGCCTATTCTCAGGTTTTTTTTGTAGACATCACAGAAAAGGAGGCTAATGAGGTAACTTTGTGGATTTTTATGGGGAGCTCCTCCCAGGCATGGGGGGCAGCATGGAAGAAAGCACAAAGGTGCCTGTTTGAAAATTAAACAAGTAGGAAAATTAACAGTAAAAAATATACAGGTATTGTCAGGGAGATGGAATAGATCACCTCACAGGTCTTTTTCTAGTCGGGCTTCTGTTATTCTTAGATAACTTAATGACATTGTTTGGGGTACAGGAAAATATCATTTCATCTAGAGATGCTAGTTAAACTCTAACCCAGACTTGTAACATATGGGAGAATGGCAATTTTATTCATGAATTCACCAGCTATTACAGGCTATTAAAATCTCAGACAGAATAACAGTTATTACAGGAATGACTAATAGCACAGCTATAATTAAGGGATTGGGAGGGTACTCTTTGCTGGGGTTTAGAACTGACATTTGAAAGGGCATCAGGCTGAAGAAAGAATCAATCCAGATGCAATTTTTGTCTCTCTTTTTTTTAATCATCCAAAATGATTTAGTTGTTTTAGTTAAGTAGCAAAATAAATTAACTGTTTTTAATTGTATTCTTAGCTTGCCGTTTCCAGTGGATGATAATGAGGGAAGTGGGGATACAGGTGATGGTCGACATTCTGATATGTACAGAAAGTCTTTTCCAAGGAAGGGCTTAACCGAGCAGCAGAAAGAAGGCATCTGTATGGTGAGAAAATTGATGTTTGCTTTAGAGGAAGGAGGAGGCCTGGATGAAATTTACACTTTCAGGTAAACTTGAATACTCCCCTTTCAGATGCTGGAAGTTTAGTTTCTTATTTCGTCCACAAAAAGCTTTAATGAATGAGGTGGCACTTTGTAGTTGTGTAACTTATCACACATTTGGGTCCCTTAAATCAACTTCAGTGGCTTTGATTCAAAGAACAGATAAGAGAATTATAAGATACAATAGAAAGTGAATTTTCCTTCATATGGTACTCTGGCTTTATAGAAAGTATCCCTTATTCCTCCTGTGTCTTGTGTTCCTCAGAATGTTTTAAGGAGGGTGAGCCTCTAAATGAGACTTCAAAACCATATTGAATATAAGGTATTTAGAAGATAAATGCTATTTTAGAATGCGTGTGCAGTGCATGTAAAGCATTTGCGCAGAATGGTAGCCCTTTTTTCCTGGTCTCAGATTGGTTGCAGATCAACTAGTTTATCAAACTCCCCCAGACAGATTGTGACGGATGGTTGCTTCTTGAAGCTCATGGCTTATTAGCGAACTGCTGTGCCATTGTGTCTAACAATAGACTGGTTCAGTAGAATTGCTAATGCAAGGATAGAAAGATGATTTTACATTTTGGTGTCTCCACAGTGAAACAATAAAAATGTGTGTGTATCTTAGAAACACTGCAATGGCTGCTATGCCTGAGACTTCTCCCCGACAGGTGGTTTAGACTGGTAACTTCCTCCCCTCATTCTGCCCAAAAATAATAATAATAAATGGAGATATACCTATCTCATAGAACTGGAAGGGACCCCGAAAGGTCATCGAGTCCAGCCCCCTGCCTTCACTAGCAGGACCAAGTACTGATTTTTGCCCCAGATCCCTAAGTGGGCCCCCTCAAGGATTGAACTCACAATCCTGGGTTTAGCAGGCCAATGCCCAAACCCTGAGCTATCCCTTCCCCCCGACTTATCATTTGGTCCCTCTCTCCTTTTGTAGCCATTATATATTTTTCCTCATCTTGGCCTCCATGGCTGGTTAGAGTATGTTATATGAGAAGGGAAATTTAGACCTTTTATTTCTGAGGAAATATATCATCACTGCTACATATTTATTTTCTATTTGCCTACAAAGCAGCCTGAGATTTTTCCATGGCAATAAAAACAGGCTTTGTTGCTGCACCCCAAAGCCAAACAAAACAATATATTTTTGATCATGATTATCCTTTCGGATAATCCACGTGCATGAAACTATCAGATGTTCTAAGTTTCCCCCTCCCCCAGCCTCCTTTCTCAGTCACTGTGGACAATACCACTATCCTGCCTGTCACTCATGCCTGTAACCTGGGCATCAGCTTTGACTTGGACCTTTCTTTAGGTCCTCACCTCAGGCTATATCTAAATCTTGCAGATTCTTTTTGCATAACACCTCTTAGCATGTAGCTTTTCTTAGTCACACAGCTAAAACTTTGATGCAGGCCCTCATCGTCCTGCTTCTTAATTACTGCAGCATCCTTTTTTCTGGCCCTGACAAATGCAGTCTTGCCCCACTCATATCCATTCTGTCTATAGCCATCTGTTGTGTTGTCTCTTGTCTTATATATAGATTATACAGGCTCTTTGGGGCAGGGACCATCTTTCTGGTCTGTGTTTGTACAGCATCTAGCCCAATGGGGTCCTGTTCCTTCACTAGGGCTCCTAGGAGCTATTGTAATACAAATAATAAATGTCTCTTTTATCTTTACCTTTCCTATCCTGGACTATAAATGCAGTACAGCCCTGCTTACTCCGTGGTTTCAGGGGAGGTCTGAAACCTTTGGATAAATGGGGGTTTGGCTAACAGATTAAAGCTTTAGTGCAGTTTAAGTTGTTTAAGAATATATGAGGCTTTAGATCAGTTTATTCAGCTTTTATAAAGCAGCCTTGCAAAACTGTCATGAAAATTTTAGCAACCTCGACACAATATCTCCTTTCCTCTTTTTACTATGCTGCTGATCAAAAATAATTTTACCCCCTATGAAAATAAATAATTTATCCAAGCAGATGAGCAAGTAGAATTTTGTAATATTGTTTTAAGGTCTGATATTGATTTGAACTGCGGGGGGAGGGAAGTCCAGAAACACAATGTGGGACCAAGAATGCTGGCTACAGGGCGAGAGGCATTTATGCTGTCCTTAGGCTTTTTTTAAAATACAAGTTTATCAAAGTCCACATGTGTGTAGATATGGAGATGTGTATTATTCAGTAATCAGTTAACTATTGGCCTATGCTGTCTGCAAGTCTACAAGGGCAAAATTTGCTAATGGACTTGGTCTTCACTGATCGGGGAGAACTGTGAATCTGTTTCTTCTAAAAAACATAGGAAATTAAACCTAAAGAACTCTGTTAATACAGAATTAAGGTAGCACAATTAAGCATTAAAAAGTTAAGAATGTAAAAGTTAAAGTTGAGTGTTTTACTTTAACTTTGCCCCTTGAGTGTATGAATTATAATAGTTTTAATTACATAGACACAGGTTTTTAAATACACATGTAACTTAGGTTGTACAAAATACTGTTGAATTATCTTGCATTATTTGATATGACTGTGGCTATGTCTTTATTGCCAAAAGGATGTATTTTTTACAGTGGGATAACTAACATGTGTTAAGTAGTTAAAACCTAATGGGGACAAGATGCAAGTAGTTTTTACTGCATTGTGGCTAGGTGAGGTCAACATTATACTCCCCAGCTATGGTTGACCTCTCCTAGCTACATTGCTGTAAAAACTACATAGCCTTGTCTCCACTAGGATTTTACAGCAAGATAACTACTATCTCACGGTAAAAACATGCCTTTTTTGGTTGTGAAGACACGTCTTTGTGATCATATAGAAGATGTAATGTAATAAATATTCCCTGAGCTAAAACTGTATTTTCAATCTTAATTTTCACATTTTCTGACTTTGAGCTGTTGAACCTTATGCAATGTTGTGTTAACAGTTTTGTACTTTTAATGTACAGTCATTTAAAAGAATCTTTTTTTGCCTTATAAGGTTTTTTATTTGCTGTTTGGCTTAGAGATATTCGAAGTAGCTGGCTTTATCCTAATTGAGCTGCGAAAAGAATGTGTATTCATTAACAACTTATTAAAAATGTGGGAGTGCTAATTACCAAACAAACAAAATAATGTTAATTGAAACAGGATTCTTTATTTTTTCATCTCCGGCCCAGGCAACATCTTACCAGTGAGAGGTGTCTTTTATAATTTGGGCTGTTCAGCTAGCTAAATTACTTAATTGGGTTAATGTTAGCTAACTGCAAAATGCTTCCTAAACAACTGTGTAATCTCTTCCTCCCCATAAGAACTGACATACTGTCTTTAACCTTAACATCATAGAGCCATAGAGATTTTAGATGGAAAACACCTACTAGGTCACATTCTCTGCCCCTTCTTACTATGATCAGTAACAGGAATGTTCTGTATAGTTTATTTTCTAGTGCTTTGTGCAATCCAAGCCAAACCAGTTGGGCTTCCACCCTTTCCTGAGGAGTTTGCATTTTCTGGATTGTTTTATTTCAGCGTATCAAAGAATTCGTGTCTGTTTTTTTTATTCTTTAATTTAGAGAGAGCCTGGAGCGTCTTTCAATGTTTAAGAAAATCGAAAGAAGACCTATGGCTTGGCCCTGCCAGCTAACGATAGGTTCTAATCTGTCTATAAGGATTGTGGCATACAAATCAGTAAGTTACTAAAATCACATATTTAAGTATATGTTGGCAGGAGCATAGTTAGCTGCATCTTCATTTTTTCCTTAAAGACAAGAAAATGAAATACCTTAAGGTAGATGAAGGAAAACATTATGGCGAGATTTTACATGAGCAAAAACCAATAAATCTAAAGTTATAGTTCTCACAGCAACCCTAACTTTGCCATATTAGACATGCATGTTAAAACATTAAAGATAACAATATTCAGAAAGAGAAGGTAATTCCTATCCACAATGTGACATTTAATTGTATAAAGTTTACAAACCTGATTTAGGGTGCTGCATTCACGTGGAGCTTTCCAATGGCCTGTCTCTGAAATGCCCAGAAATGAGTGAGGCTTAATATTTTCCTTATTTCTTGGAAATTGCACTTTTTTTTTAGAAATAGTAATAAAGATACCCTCAATTTGAAATCACATTTGTGGACATAAATGTTTTACTTACTGTTGTTACAAATCACATGTAAGATTATAATAACTTTAAAAGATTTTCTCTCTTTTTTCAGTGTTTGCTTTGTGCAATTTGACAGGACCTTACATATAGTCAGTTTCACTGTTCAGTCAGTCTGTTTCCCCTATTGTTTGTGTGGGTCTTTCACACAGCAATAAGAGGAAAAACACTTTAAAAATAGGAAAACGTGTAACACCACAGCTGCTTATCATGTAAATAATAGCTAGGCAGCCATGTAGTTCAGTGATACTGACGTGATTTTGGTGAAATAGAGTTTAACTGGTTCATCAACTGAACCTAAAAATAGGATTCTCTTCAATATTCTGTTGCTTCAAGGTGAAATATTCTAATTTAGTAATATGCCTGATGTCTAGAAGGTGGATTTATTAGGCTTGGGTAAGGTCTAATCACTATAGGTTTCCCTTGACAGCTTCCTGTTTCTCCTCATTTATAATAATAATAATTATTATAATTATTTTATTATGGTATTGTGCTAGGCACTATACTAAGGCAGAGTAAGAGACAGTCCCTACCCCAAACAGTTTACAATTTAAATAGGCAAGACAAGCAAGGGTTGGAGGGAAATGAGAGCCATTTGTTTAATCTGAAATGAGAATTGTCAATATGAGTAGAGCACTAGTGGTGATCGGAGTAGCAAATGCTTTTTATGACCCAGCACTTGGTCAAGAGAAATGACTCTAGGAATTGATTCTCATGTTGTGGTTGGAACCCATCCCCAAATGAGATTTAAATATTCCTTTTCTTTCATTGTTGACACAAAGCTCGCCGAAGAGAAGCTGAAAAAGTCCTGGACTCTTGTGGATGCCAAGACCTTAAAAAAAGAAGATGTGCAAAAAGAGACTGTCTACTGCTTGAACGATGATGATGAAACAGAAGTTCCGAAAGATGATCTTGTTCAAGGTATGGGTTATTCTCTCTGTGCCCTCTTAAAACATTTAGGCTTAAATTTTAGGACTTGTTCTCCTAAGACACTTAAATGTATTTGAAAATTCCACCCTTAGGTGCCTAAAGATGGATTTAGAAGTCGAACTGTGGCCTTAGACTGTAAACTCTTGGGGGTAGGGAGCTTGTCATCTTGTATATCTGTAACATTCGTATTGTTGCCACGGTAGCTAGAGCTGCATGTTTTTTACAAAGACAAAATTACACAAAATAAAACAACAACAAAAATGGATAAAGCAAAATAAAACAAAAAAACTCATCCTGCAGTTGTGGCTCCTGGCGCACTAGGTCACAGTGCCACTTCATCATGACCAGCATATGATGGATGGAGGGGTGGCCGAGCCAAATCCGAGCAGTGCTATGACCCCGTGCGCCAGGTCCAAATACCCGGAGCAGGAAGCCAGGCCTATCCCTGCAGGACCAGAGCCACCACTGCAGGGTGAGTGAGAGGTGGGCTCACTCTCCAATCCCCACCTCCTCCAGAATTCCCAACACCCCCTACACTCCCCTTCCCCCACCATCTCCTGTGTGGATAAAATGTGTAACACGAAATAACCCAAAATAACCCTCCCACATCCCAAAATTATAAAAAATAAAAGAATTTCAAAGGACTCTAATTATTGCAATAATAATAATGCCAGATAGGAACTAGAAGGCAGTGTAGCAGTTCCCAAGCTGCGCTCTGTGGAGCACTTGTGCTCCATGGTGGATGGGCTGGTGGATGGTGCTGATTCTTCTTGTTTCCAGCTGTTAAATTGCATCAAAATATATCTAAAAATATATCAAATACTTTCCTACTGTTATAGCAATTGCTTGCATGGAAAAGTATGTGCCACAAGGATATTATACAATTGTGAATGGAAGGTGCTGTGGGAACTGTGATAATGAAAAGAAGGGGGTGTTTAGGGGATAATCTTTCTGTTAGATGTGGTTCTCACCATGAAAAAGTTTGAGAATTAGCTTTACCATTTAGACTAAAAGGAGGTTTGAGGTGCCATGGTGACGGAATGCAGGATAGTACTCACAGCATGTAAATTTCTGTTTTGCATAGTTTAGTTTCTCTTTGGATGCAAATAATTCAATTTCTTAGATGAATAAAGGCACATCATCAACTTGAAATACAGTCCATTTTCAAAAATGTGAGTTAAAAATTGTTTCAAGTGCTATATCTGCTTCTCAGTCTCCCTGGGTATGTCTACACAGCAAAGAAAAACCCGCATCTGGCCTGTGCCAGCTGGCTTGGGCTTGTGGGGCTGTTTCATTGCTGTGTAGACTTCCGAGCTTGGGCTGGACCATGGGCTCTAGGACCCTGTGAGGTGGGAGGGTCCCAGAGCTTGGGCTCCAGCCTGAACCCACACAGCAATGAAACAGAGCCACAAGCCCAAGTCGGCTGGCACTGGCCAGCCGCAGGTGTCTAGTTGCTATGTGGACATGCTATTATCAGTCACATTTTGCTATTTTAAATTTTTTTTTCTGTTTAAAAGTCCTACACAAATGGGGGAAATAGAATAATTATACAGGGGAGACAGTACAAATTACTACTGAAAGTCAAGTGCACAAAGTAAACTGAAAAAAATAGAAATATCATTTTTCTCTTTCAACTTTAACTCTAGTAATCTTAGGTGTTATTTGTAACAGTAGTAGGTTAAAAATGTTCGTACATCTGTGTGATTTTTGAGTTGACTGTGTCTCTTTAAGCAGAGATGAAGTAATTATGAAAAAAGCTAGTAAGTAATGTTAATTTAGTGTTCTATGCATGTTTCATAATTTCAAACTTAAAAAAAATCTGTTTACGTTATAGGGTAGATTTTAGGTAGGGTTCTCTTCGAATTCCACAGCATCTTTTCCTGCTAAATTATTGCCCTCACTCCAGTTAATTTGGGGACACTTTCTCTTTCCTTCAGTATGCTTAAATGTTTCATTTAATTGCCATGACTTCAGTGAGAGCAGGATTGGCCCTTAAATATGGATCTATCCATGTAGACTTAGTAGAGCGGGGGTACATTTATTTGCCTGTTAGTAGTAGTTCTCTAAGATGGCATTGTCCTTGGATCTAAACTAACTCACCTCTTGATAGTTTTTATATTTTGGGGTTTGATTAATAGACTTTAAGGCCAGAACTGACCATTATGATAATCTAATCTGACCTCCATCATAACAATGGGATTTTACCCCGCGATTCCTGCACCAAGCCCACATGTTGTGGTTGAGCTACAGCATATTTTTAAAAAGAGGCTAAAAGTTTAAAATGTTGGTAACAAGGCTATGATGTGTTATAATATATTAAAACTCTCTCGATCCTTCCTCACCCTAAAGCTGCTGCCTGCTTCCTCAAGCAGGGTCAGAACATTCTAGAAAACTTTGAGCATTCCTGACCTCCCTCTGCTGAAGTCCTGATCTGTGAATGCCTGTCAGATACTGTCTTCAGAGAAAAGCAGTAGTAAATAGTTACAATTTACCTTTGATTCCAATATCAAAGTAAACTACAGAGACCAAAGATGTCTTCACCCAGTGGCCTGACATTCAACTGCAGTTAAAGAGCTCCTGATGTTTCATCGAAATTTTTGAAGAACGTTCTGTTTACAGAGTATTCTGCACATTAAGTGTGTTTTTTGAGTTTTGCTTCAATTTGCTTTTTCATTTTCTTTTCAAATTCCTAAGGAAGAGTGCATGCAAAAAAGTTCTTCATTTTGGGATGTTCATCTGCTTCTGGTGTTTATTCCCCACCTGAAGACATCATCCTCAGGCTCTGACAGCATAATCAGCTAAACAGAAGCTAATTGTGGTATTGCAAGCAGAATATTGTAACTTCAGGTTGGGAACTAAGCAGCAGGAACAGGTGATACTCCTAAGAAACAAAGATCCTGATTTCATGCAAATATCCCTAGGAATAACAAACAAAGGAAGCAAAATACAGAAATAAACACTAGATCAACTAGTCTCTGTATAGAAAGGTTTTTCTTTTCCATGAGGCATCAGTAGGTCTTTAATATCCATTTTAATGACAGCTTTGTCTCTGAATTTTTTGTGGATTCCTTTCTTTGAGTCTCCTGCTGATTTGTGTTATGTTTTTTCTATTTTTATTTGCAAGGAGTGCTCATGCTCTTTTTCACTGAGTATTGTTTTGTGAGTATAAGGTGTTGGGCAGTGTGTTAAGTACATTTTTTTTTCTTTTCTGATATCCGCAAAAGTAGGTACATTATGTAAAATGATGCACAAGGAATGTAACTGTTTTTTGTGATTTGCAGATTGTGTCTATGGAGTGTGATTATTTTGTTAACAGGAGAAAGTAATTTGATATAAATTACAAAGTTAATCGTATGGGGTATAGCTGTGGGGCGTGCATGCGTTGTTAAAATATGCAGAGTGCTAATTTCAGTGTAAGAAATGTAGGCCCTCATGCTTACCAGATGCTCATCTCTTGTTCTCCAGGGTTCCGCTATGGGAGCGATATAGTTCCTTTCTCTAAAGTAGATGAGGAGCAAATGAAATACAAAACCGAAGCAAAGTGTTTTTCAGTATTAGGATTCAGCAGATCATCTCAGGTGCAGTATTGAACTTCTTCCCACTCAATTACTGGATAACTGTTGAATATAGGTCAGAGTCACCAGGGGACAATGATGCTGTGTATGCTCCAGTGAACAGGTGCATGTTGTGTGGGCGGATGCTATTAGATGTGCAGGGAGAGTTCACATTTGCCATGTCCAGTGGATCTGGACTCCACATAGGTCACTATAAAGGGGGCATTTGAGCGAGGTTCATCGTTGTGGCCTCTGTCTCACGATTATACAGAGCCAGTGGTCACAAATCCTAATGTAGGGGTGGCGGATGTAGTGCAATCCCTATTTTAGCCCAGGAGCTGAAGTAGTGGATGAAGAAGAAACTTCAGAATTTCCCCACCCTCTGCCAGTGGCAAGGAAGTGGATTCCTCCTTCCCCAGTCCCTGGTTAGTTCCCTGCACAAAATCCTCTGGCTTTGTCCAAGTCTGTGTGTTCATTTCACCGTACTAGCAATAGAAGCTCGCCAATGTTTGAGAACTCTTGGAAACTAAGTGTCTTAATTCTCGTAGGATTAAGTTATGAGCTGTGGTTTTCCTCTTGTTTTCATTAAAGTAACAATAATTAAACGTAGTGATTGGTTCACAAAATTAGGGCTCAGAAGCAGTAAGTATAGGAAGATGATTATATATCTTTTAAAAGTAGATACATACACTATAGAGAGACATTAAAGAGTGTTTGTGGATATATTCTAACTCTTTTTATTGGAAGCATTCATTTTGCCATTCATCGTCATGGCATCTGGGAGCCTTACAAGGCTTAAGATGAGACATTCCCTATCTCAGTAAGAAACCAAACACTTTGCCTTCCTGCTATCTACAACTTCGGCAATCAGCTAGGAAAGCAGGATTTAATCATTTGGGAAGTCCTGGACAACGAGATATCTTGCTCCATAAAAGTGTAATATACACATATGCATACACATGAGAGCAGGAAATTTTAAGCTGGCACTACTCTTCCCTTTCCAGGAGAACCCTGATAGTGGTTATGGGCATCTACGCATCCTCCTGGAGTCCCCCGGGGCTCAGTCAAGTTACTTCTTTTATTCACTATCCATGGTGAAGTCATTGGGGGGGATCATAAGATACTGAGCCTCAGTGCTAGCAGTATGCTGAATGCTCCCAAATCTACTTCTCTGTCTTGTCAAGCTTCCCAGATGTTACAGTGCCTTGGCAAAATAGGAACCTGTATGAAAAGCAGAAGGATCATTAGCCATCACCACTAAAACAGAGGTGATGCTGGTTGGCAGAGGGCAATACATAGAGAGCAGTCAGACGCTGTAACCATCCCTCTGTTGTCCACAGCCTCAATCTTGCTAGAGGTGTCCGTGAACTCTGTTATAACAGCAGTGGGCCAAAACCAGGGGCGGCTCTAGCTTTTTTGCCGCCCCAAGCACAGCAGGCAGGCAGGCTAGCTTCGGCGGCATGCCTGCGGGAGGTCCCCGGTCTCGCGGATTCGGTGGCATGCCTGCGGGAGGTCCCCGGTCCCGCGGATTCGGCGGCATGCCTGCAGGAGGTCCGCCGGTCCTGCAGCTTCAGCGTACCCGCTGCAGAATTGCCGCCAAAGCCGTGGGACCGGCGGACCTCCCGCAGGCATGCCACCGAGGCTGCCTAATTGCCACCCTCGCAGGGACCGGCAGGGCGCCCCCCGCGGCTTGCCGCCCCAGGCACGCGCTTGGAGCACTGGTGCCTGGAGCCGCCGCTGTCCAAAACATCTTTGACTAGACAGGAGTTTGTGCCATTTCCTTTCACATGAGAATCTAGTTACAACATCCCATCCCTTAATCACCTCCAGACTGGATTATTATAACATGGTCTGATCATGTGGGCACCCCGAAAGTAAAGCTGCTACCTTAGGCAGCTGCCTTTCTGCTAAGCAAGACAGACCAGTGAGAACACACTGCGCTAGCTCTTCACATACGTCGTCGCTGGTCCCGTTCTGAGTCCAGTTCAAGATTCTGAATAGCTGAAGTCTCTTATTTGTTATAGAAAGGCATGCTCATCTTCCATCTCCTCCTGATTTAGTGGTCCTGACCATGACACTGCTCCTGTTCCCCCGCTCCTCCTTTTATCTTCACTCAGAAACTTTCAGCTGGTCTGCCTCTCCCCTCCTTCTGGACCTCAGAACAAGTGTATATATTCTTGCTGTATAATGCAAAACAAGCTATACCCATCTATACCAATATTTGAGTCATGAGACTTATCCCACCAAATCTCTGTGATGCCAAATAAGTCATAATTCAGTTTAGGGACTGATACTTCCAGTTCTTCCAGTTTGTTCCCCATACTCCTTGGATTTGTGTATAGACATATAGAGGCATATGCCCCTCTTGTTGCCCCTGTGATCCTCTTGTAATTTTTCATTTCCACCCCCAACATTTAGCCCTCTATTGAAGTTACCTTTATTATACCTACTTGTGGGCTTTTGTCATCTGCCCCTTTTGAACCTAGTTTAAAGCCCTCCTCGTTAAGCTGATGAGTTGTTGTGCAAAGATGCTTTTCCTCTTCTTGGTCAGATGGGTCCCATCTCTTCCCAGCAGTCTTCCTTCCCAGAACAGCATGCTATGATCAAGAAAGCCAAAACCTTCCCATCAACACTGTCTGTGCAGCCATGCATTCATTTCCAGGATACACATATCCCTGCCTGGGGCCCCAGCCAGGAGGATGTACAAGAACACAGCCTGCATTCCCGACTCCTTCACCCCCAGAGCCCTGTAGTCGCTGCTGATCTTCTCATGGTCAGACCTGACAAAATCATTGGTGTCCACACGGATGAGCAGTGTGGGGGTAGCGGTCAGAGGGATAGCTGAGCCTCAGCAACCTTTCTGTAACATCTTAGATGCGGGTTCTAGAAGGCAGCACACCTCCCAGGACATCATGTCCCTCTCAGGAGGGAGTCCCTGGCTTCCACCACCCTACTCTGCCTCCTCTTTGGTGCAGTGGCCGCGAACTTCCCTGCCTTGAGACAGGTGGCTCCTCCTCCTCAGTCATTGGGGTCTGCTCCTCTCCTCCTTTCCCAGTGCAGCATACTGCATACAGCATATTAACCAGAGAAACTGGAGCAGTTCAAAATACAGAATTAAAGAGGGAATAAACCCACCTCATATCATTTTCTCAATGTACTGAAGCAGCTTTTTCAATCATTCGTATCCTGGGCATCTTATTATTGGTTTTTAAACGTTGATTTTTAATTTATAAGCAATACCATGTAAATCAAGAAATCATACAAGACTTTAAAATACACAAAGGAGATGTTAGTTGGCAACCAAAGAAAATGCAGCGACATATATATCTAGGTATATGTGATGCTCGACAGCATAGTATTTCAGCTCCTAAAGACAAATAGGAAGGAATAATAGTGGATACAACAGGTTGACTTCAAGAGCTTCAGGAATGGTGCTGATTTCTGAAGGTCAGATCCCCATCTGGCATAAATTGTCATTGACTTAAATGAGGTTACGACAGTTTACAGCTGCCGAACATCTGCCTCCAAATCTACGTCCAGGAGCCTTATTATCCACACGTTCAAAGATTTTTAACAAAAAGAAGAGAACCAGTACTAGGCATGCTTTAGTCTTGTCTGTAACTTTCTAAATAGTATTAAATAACATGTAGAACTGTTCACCCCAAGACAAATGTACCATGAGTCCAGTATTTAATTTCTGTATTGCCCATTCATAGCTAGCAATGACTGCCACATATCCTGGAATTTGTTAGTCCAAGTCTGATCTCAGATCTGAGAATTTTGCCAGGTCGTAAAAGCAAAATGTGGATGCTGAATCCTATCTGTCCCAGTATAGTGTAATTTTCCCTTTGGCAACCACTGCCACTCTCCATACAGACTAATAAGGCTCGTGCAGCACCTTCCAAACATCATTTAATTTAATTAATGGAGATATCCTATCTCCTAGAACTGGATGGGACCTTGAAAGGTCATTGAGTCCAGCTCCCTGCCTTCACTAGCAGGACCAAGTACTGATTTTGCCCTAGATTCCTAAGTGGCCCCCTCAAGGATTGAACTCACAACCCTGCGTTTAGCAGGCCAATGCTCAAACCACTGAGCTATCCCTCCCCCCATTTGTTAGGGTGGCGGTTCTATATGATGAATACTGCAAAATATTAATAGAGTTTCACATTGTGTGGTAAATGGAAACAGAGCAACGTATAGGTTTTATATCTACCATACATAGTAATTAAATGCTTTGGCCTTACATGTGGGTATTATGTTTGTTTTTTCTAGTGTAGAATTAATTAGTTGGTACAATTAAAATGACATTTGTTTTAGATCAAAACTAATCATTTTAGAAACTTTAATTTATAGATACAGAGGCATCACTACATGGGCACCCAGGTTCTGAAGGTCTTTGCAGCGAAAGATGATGAGGTGAGATAAATGAATTTTAAGTTGAGTGGCGGCTCACCGTGAATTAATGGTAATGAATCTGGCAATAAAGTTGGTGTAGGAGTCCTTTGGTGTTAATAAAACCAATACATTCTTCACTATGCAACTTACAAAGGTCCAGATCCAGCTCTCATAGAGGACAATGGGAGCTGGATTGAGCCCAAAATCAATATCATGTGTCCAATCAGAAATAAGAAATTTGTAAGTTTCACTGTTGTTTAATTATACCTGGGAAGGCTGCAAGTAGGTCATATTTGCCATGTTTGTAAATGGTGGCTTGATTCTGTGTGGATCATTGTATCTCAGACTGTCTCATGGAATGCAAAGCGTGGTTTGTATTTTTTTCAAAGTTTGAAATGTTGCAAGCTGATGTAAAACTCAGCAGAAAAAAATACAGAGGCAGTCAGCAAGGTTTCTTTCCCTTCAAGGCCTAATGATTATAAAGAAAAAGGAAAATAAATTACTATAACCAGAAAAGGAGCCCAAACTCTCCAACTCGGGGTTCAAGCAAGCCTTATGACTTCCTAGCAGCCATTTTATAGTCCTCCCTCTGGACATCTGTGCAACGGGACAGGGAACCTGAACTGAGGTTTAACCTTTTTGTTCACTGGTGACTATGTAATGCCCCTGCACTCATTCTCTCTCTCATTTAAAATGAAATCTGGGTCTACTGTCAACATTCAAGAAAAGAGAAACTTCAAAAACAAAGCCCTGAAAGTACCATTTCTTCCTTCCTTTCTATCCTGCAATTTCACGTAGAACCCTTTCCAGTTTTGTTTTGAAAGGGTGATATGTACAGGATCTAAAGATAGTCCCTACTTTTTAATATATCCACTGTTGTGACCAGATTTGAACTGTGCCTATTGCTGTGTCTTTTGGAGGTAAAAGGTGGTGTTTAAGTCAAGCTGCTGACTAAAGGTGGAGACGTCCTTGTCTTCGCAAGTGCTTTTGGATTCAGTGTGAAAGTTGGTCTGAATAGCTTTTAACCAGGGCTTGTATGAACTTTCTTGACAGGCTGCAGCAGTTGCTCTTTCTGCTCTGATTCATGCTTTGGATGAGTTGGATGTCGTGGCCATAGTACGTTATGCTTATGACAGAAGATCTAATCCTCAGGTTGGCGTAGCCTTTCCATGTATCAAGGATGCATATGAGGTAACATTTTGACCTAATATAATGCCTTTCTTCAGAGAGTCTTTAAATCCTTTGCAAACATTAATTAATGAAGCTTCACAACAAAGCAAATTACGTATGAGTTTGCAGTATGATAAGGCAGGAAAAGAGGCCAGTGTGATTTTGGGTTGTACACGGAGACACCAATCACAGAGCAAGGAGATAATCTCCTCTACTATAAATCTGTGATGAGACCATATCTGGAATATTGCAGTCATTTCTGGACATCTAAATACTAACAAAATACTAAGAAATTTGGAATTCTGAGCAGCCAATTAAAATCGTTAAGATGCTGGAAGAAATAATTGTCACTAGAACCAATAGAACTCTGCTAGAAATGTTGTTAACTTTTGCTGAATTTCCCCTACCCAGAATCTGTGAAATTTGGGGGAGATTTGCAGAGTTTGGGATTTTTTTTTAGAGTGAACTCACTGCAAATGCACATGGTAGAACAAAACAGTATGTTTAAATGTGTGTCTTTATTGTATAGTTTTAATAACGACTTTTATTTTACCCCATTTTATTTTTAAAAATGTCCCCCCTCACCTCTCTGACATCTGTATTCCCCCGCAGATCTTTGAATTCCCTTATATCATTGGTTCTCAACCTTTTCCATACCATGAACCTCTTATAACAGAAAAATATTTTGGGACCTCATTGCCATCCTAGCTGTAAAGAAAGGGAGTTGGCCATGAACCTGCTAGAACTTGTTCGGAGCCCTTGGTTGAAAACCCATGCTCTAGATCTTCAGTCAAACATTTGATTTTCTTCATAGCAAAGCAGTCAAGAAGGGAAGGGACAAGAAAAAACATTCAGTATTTGTAACTTTAAAAGTTGTGGTCAGATTGTTCACTGATTTATACTCCATGTCACCCCATAGGATGCACGTTAGTGCAGAATGTGGGTCCAGTAGCTGTCAAATGGCTTTTCAAACATATCTTGCTGCACTGAATAAAGCACATGAGTGGGAAGTTTGTGCTAAAGTTATCAGCAGTGAAATAGTTGACATTTAATTTTGTTGTCATTAAGTTTTTGATTTGACATCCCATTGAATTGAATGGGGGCTGGACTTGATGACTTGCGTGTCGTAGGTGGTCGATAAATCTATCACCACGGTTCCGGTTTTTAGATTCCACTGGAAGCCAGCCTCAGTGTGACGAGTCATGGCAAGATCCTGGTTGTAGCAACTCCATCCTGATCTGAAACCAGCCTGTTCCTTTGGCAGGATGGCCTCAAAGATGGGGTGAGATGGACCAGTAAGACCCTCTCCATTAACTTGCAAATTGTGGAGAGGAATGCTGTTGGGTAATGGCTGGTGACATCATTTGTTGGTTTCCCATGTTTGAGCAGGGTAATGACTACAGCCTTAAACCAGCTTTTTGGGATCTTTATCTTTAATGTAATGCAGGGACTAGGTCTGTGAACGATGTTTATCCATTTGGTCCCAAATTCTTAAGGAATTTGTGGTAAATGTGGTCCTTGCCAGCAGCTTTTCCACTTCTAATGGCCATGAGGGCCTTGTTTATTTCTTCTTTAATATATGGGAATGATAGCGGTGAAGTGGCAGGGCTTTGTGGGACATTTAGAAAGGGTTCTTTCTGACCCTTCTGTCTAGTCAGCTTGTCAGTTCTGGTCTTCAGAGAACACTTCCCAGAGAGCTCCCAGGGAAGGTGGGAGACAACAGCACTGGCCATCACTTTTGATTACTGGTATTTCACTAGCTCGGCAGCTCCAAGCTTATGGCATGCCCAGGCTTTATGACTGGAATGAGTGAACTCAAGACTCTCCACTGTCTAGTTCCGGGGTCAGCAACCTTCAGCACACCAGCCTGCACTGCTTCCCGTAGCTCCCATTGGCTGGGAACGGCAAACCGCGGCCACTGGGAGCTGCGGGTGGCCATGCAAATGTAAACAAACTGTCTCGCAGCCCACCAGCGGATTACCCTGACGGGCTGGAGGTTGCCCACCACTGGTCTAGATAATACTTAGTCCTGCCATGAGTGCAGGGGACTGGACTAGATGACCTCTCGAGGTCCCTCCCAGCCCTATGATTCTATGACTTCTCAAGGTCCCTCCCAGCCCTACATTTCTATGATTCTACATTTTCTTTATTTCACACCTCTCAGAGATACTGTTTGAGTTAGTCTGTCTCTGGAAGATAGTGCTGGATTGTTTCACGTTGCATTTGGGAAGGTTTCCTTTGTAACCAGAAGGGCTAGAAATGTAGTTTTTTTAAAAAAATGAATGTTTTACATCACATCACATCACCCCACACCCACACCCTAAAAGCTGTACAGCATATGTTTCCAGTGATCTTACTTGTGAGAGATTATTCAGAGAGCTAAATTATGTATAGGTTGGATAAGGGAGTGGACATAAGTCTTTGTATTTTTAAAGGGTATAAACATAAAAGATGGAAAAGAATTATTTAGGGTGCTATACGCTGGAGGAGGTATATGAAAAAAAATTAGGCTGGGAATGTCAAAAACAACTTGCTTGATGGTAAGATGCAGTAGGCTATAGAGCAGTCTCTCACAGGTAGTGATGAAAGCTCCATTGCATGGGATATTTAAAGCTGGTTTGGACAGAGCTCTAGGCAACAATCCTAAACTAGCAGGATGATGGACCAGGTGATCCAATAGGTCTAATAAATGGCTAGAGCATTACTGACACCTTTTTTTTAATCATCCTGATATTTGTGAAAGTAATAATGATGTTAAATATTGTACTTAACATTTGTATTGTACTACAGTTCTTAGTAAATCAAACTATTTCAATTTGTACAGTTTCTAGATTTCTGATTTCCTTATACTCCTGCTGCCTTTACTTCTGGAACTAACTATAAATTTTCACTTCAAGTTCACTTGCTTCTCTTTTGTTTTTCCCCCCTTAGTGTCTGATATATGTGCAGTTACCCTACATGGAAGACTTACGACAATACATGTTTTCCTCTTTGAAAAACAATAAAAAGTGCACTCCTTCAGGTGAGTAGGTCCCTTATTGTCTCACTAATTGGCTGCAGCCTAATACCATAACTTTAAGTCACTCTAAAATACATGGAATGTTTGACTTTCCCTTGAAAACACAATCTGATTTGGAAAAAGTCAGTTTGGTCAGCTCATCAGAACTTTGTCTGGTTAGCTGGAGACTGAGTGGCTCTAAGGATTGCACACAGCCTTTCAACACTATACTGCAGGCTAAAGTCTGGCTCAGATTAAATGATCACAAGCTGTCATCTGAACCTTTATGATTTTAGGGAGAACTGGTTAATCCCCCATGACCCAGTCAGTCTTTGGCCTCTCTTTTGAGACTGTCAGCAAAGGGTTTCTTTGTGATGGGGTTCACACTGTAGACCTCTCTACTTTAGGAACTGCACTGAGAACCAGCAGCTCCTTCAGATAGGCCATCTATCAGCCACCTTCCTATGCATACCGTGATGTAATCTACAAGTGCAAAGCTGGTGTTTAAATTTGTGTGCAAGTATTAGTGCTGAAGAAGCAGGCACACACTGGTGCTGGGATTCAGACAGAAGGCCAAGGTGAAAACCCCACAGTGTTCGGTTCACTGTCCCAAGAGTCTGGAGTAGATTGGATTAGTGGGGTAATGTGTAATCCAGACTGTGTTCTGGATGTTCTCATTTGTTGTAAGGCCCACTCTGAAAAGGAACAAGAATCTGACAGTCAGGACATGAAGCTTTCGATTTCCTGCCTGTAACAGGCAGTTTGAAAGCAGAAATTTAACAACCCATCTTACCAAGGCAATAATTGACTATTGTGAACTGAGTTAATTTACATTTGTAACTTTTAAAAGTTGCATTGCTCCATTTAGTTCTCCAAACCAACTGTTCTCCTCATTTTCCAAGTGGCCTATAAACCTTCTGTTACAAATAAAAACATCTTGGAAAAGAAGAAAAATGGAAGCAGAAAGGCAGCAGTAACTGAGATCTTCACAAAACTGAAAGGCTCTGTAACTTTACATTGTAGTCCTTAAACAATGCAGGGTTTTCATTACTGTGTCCATTATCCATGTTCATTATCAGCCTGTCTGTATCCCCAGGGAATATAAAACATAGTGAATTCTGGGGCATTTGATGCCTTTGTTAAAATCTCATATTCTGAAGTGAATCTTTGTGGGTGAATTATTACAAGCAGATCTGTCTGCAAGTGTATTTAATCTTTTTTGTGCATATTTATTTATATTTGTTGGTTTAGAGGATCAGTTATCTGCAGTTGACTCTCTGATTGATTCTATGAGTTTGGTTTATGAAGATGATGATGGGGAGACAACCGAAGACATATTTAAAACCAGCAAAATACCAAACCCTCAGTTTCAGAGGTTATATCAGGTGAGATGATAAACTTTCAGGTTAAAACTTTTCCTGTTTCTACACACTCCTCCCCCTCTTTTTCAGAGTTGTGTGAAAAGACTTGGATTGTGACAGGTGGAAGTTAAATGAATTAATCGGTAGATCCTGAGAGGCTACTAGCTTGTGCCTTGCCACCAGCATCAGTTTCAGACTGAATATTTCTAGCTCCCTGCATTGTAAGAGTTTGAACAGGCAGTCTAACAAAGCCTTATCCTCTAAGGAAACCCAGGCCAGCCAGGATATGTTGGGCCATTTACAAGTAAGGCATGTGCTTGAGAAACAGCTGCATCTTCTTTCTAGATAAAGAACCGATGTCCCGTGTTCTGTTTGCCACTGTAGACCAACTTATTCAGCACTGCCCACACAAACTCCGTCCTTCACTGCTCTTCCACTTGCCTGGTCCAGTGCAACATAATCAGTGCAGTATCCCTTGTTATTTATTTATTTTACTTGGCAACAAACTGAAAGTGTACGGCCAACATAAAATATGTTTAGTATCAGATTTTTATACTGATAATGCATAACTGTGTGATAGAAATTATTGTTGGGAAACTGGGTAATAGTTGGGTGCTTTGTCCCTCAGGAAGGCAAGTTTGTTTTGTTTTTTGGCAAGGAGGAGGCAGCTGAAGAGGGGATGCCCCCCTCCCCTTCCCCTTCCCCTTTTAGGCAGGGGCAGAGATTGACTTTAAATCTTGAGAGGGTCTTAATTCTTCATTCTCTACCCCAGCAAACCCTGAAAACATCATAGAATATCAGGATTGGAAGGGACCTCAGGAGGTCATGTAGTCCAACCCCCTGCTCAAAGCAGGACCAATCCCCAGACAGATTTTTACCCCAGTTCCCTAAATGGCCCCCTCAAGGATTGAACTCACAACCCTGGGTTTAGCAGGCCAAGCTCACACCACTGAGCTATCCCTCCCCATCCACCTGCACCATCTGCTACTGCATCCAGCAGTTATAGATAAGTGTGTTAGCTTGGTGTTTCTGCTAAAATGATCAGCAGTGAAACAGTTAACAGTGTTGACACTTAAAATATCCTCATTGGGCTTCAGAGTTAACACATTTTAGAGATAAATGGAGCAGTTCACACTTGATTCAGAGCTATTGTTTCAAACTGTCGGCGTTTTGATTTACATTTGTTTCACATCTGAAGGTTTTCTTTGCAACCATGAAGGCGAGAGACTTAATTATGCCCCAGAATTTAAGGGTTCATTTTAAAAAAAGATGTGACAAATTCAAAAAGATGGGCAATTATGATGCAATTTATGCAGCTGCATAAGCATGTTATACACAGGGCCATGGATAGAATATTGTAGAATGTGGGTTTCTGCTCTGAAAAGTGACTAAAATGGCACTATGGGGGTCCATCCTTATTGTGTCTCACTGATTCCAGATGAAATTTGCACATTTTACAAGTTAAAAAATGTTTTTCCTACGTGCCTGCAAATTCAGCCTGGGTTCTGCAAGTTATCCTGGGTTTGTTCTTTTTACTGCATTGTCACCAGAAATAGAAGGTTCTGTGGGCCAAATTTTGTCTTTAGTGACAAAAGTGTAATTCCACTGTCTTGAAATCCTACCCTCAATGACCCCTGCAGAACCCAGCATTCAGGTTCTGCCTACCAGAGAGATTGTACAGAACGCAACTGATTGCAAGATTTTGCAAGCAGAAGCTTTGTTACTTGGTGGTGATATTTGAGATGGAAAGACCCCAGCATGAGGCAAGCCCCAGGGGGAGTTTGCAGAGTTGGGAGTTAGAAAAAAACATCCCAGGGTTTTATTTATAAATGGAACAATGTTTTGATGGAATTTCCTCTGCTTCAGTGGACAGTCATGTATTGGAGATCTCTTTCCTTAGTGTGTCATTGACTTCCAAAACAGAATAATGGCATTATCCCAATGACTGATTTGAGAGTGCTGCTGGAAGGGAACTGTGTAACTGTATTCGATGAAGTGGGTATTCACCCACGAAAGCTTATGCTCCAACACATCTGTTAGTCTTAAAGGTGCCACAGGACTCTCTGTTGCTTTTTACAGATCCAGACTAACACGGCTACCCCTCTGATACTTGTGTAACTGTAAACATTTTGTTTTTAGAGGAAGATAGAGGGAAAATAGGACTCCCTAGGAGAGGCTGCTATTGGTGGGGCATTAATTTTATTATTTACGCTAGTGGCCAGAGGTCCCAGTCAGGATTGGGGCCTCATTGGGTACATCTACACAGAAAAGAAAAACCCAGGGCTGGCCCATGCCAGCTGACTCGGACTCGTAGGGCTCAGGCTGCAGGGCTGTTTCATTGCTGTGTAGACTTCTGGGTTCAGGCTGGAGCCCGGGCTCTGGGACCCTCGCACCCCGCAGAGTCCTAGAGCCTGGATTCCAGCCCGAGCCCGGAAGTCTACACATCAATGAAACAGCCCTGCAGCCCCAACCCCGTGAGCGGAGTCATCTAGCACAGACCAGCTGTGGGTGTCTAGTTGCTGTGTAGATATACCAAGAGTGCTAGACGATGTACTAATATAAAATAAAATATAGTACCTGCCTCAGGAAGCATACAGTCTAACTAGTAAGCCATAATCTATTCATTCTTTTCTGCCATTTCGTTAGTATACGTCTGTTTTACTACGGCACAGTTTCTAGGTAGAATCCTGAGTGTCATATGACTATGCAGCCATATAAATTGCAGCAAAATTACTCTTATTTTTGAATTTGCTGCATAGTTGCACTCCAAAAACTAAACTTATATATATATACATATATATATATATATTTATTTAAAAAAGAGTTGTACCTATTGCTCTTATGGGTTGCCAAGAAAACCTTTAAAATATGCTGTGAATATAACCAGTACAGTGATGTCTGCATGAATCCACACACAGCCTGAGAAAATGCCTCTGAGGGAAACATGAACTGCCCCGTTATCTCACTGAGGTGTTACCTCATGAAGGTACTTGAAATGATTAGCAGTGAATGTTGATATTTAAGCAGAAGCATCTAGATAAATTACGTTTTCATCTCTGGAAGCAGTGGCTTATATGAGAGGGTGCAAAGGGATAGTAAATGGCTGTTGGAGTTAGCTGGAGTGGAGGATGAGGTATTCCATCCTCCCTCCCCAATACAAAAGCCTCAACTTCCTCCTAGGTGACAAAACCAAAACCAACTCCTGTATCTTCCTGGGTGGGAAACCGACTCTCCTATTCAGCTGTCAAAACCTCCAGCTTCCCTTCAACATTTTCTGTGATGCAGTTATTTCTTTTCAGTACAGAAATCTGCAGCATGTTGTAAATTTTGGGGCAGCATACAATAAGATAAATTTAATATCAGAATGAAGTAATAAGTTACACTGGACAGATTGTGCTGTACTGGGACAGGGTGAGCGGGAAATTAATGGGGGGAAGAGCTTGGATGAAAAGGTGCTGCATAATTTAAGGGTTTCTGCTGTACAATCCAGGTCTAATATCCCACATAGGACATTGCCCCTGATTATATGTTACATTTAATTCACCCTGATGTAAGCACTGAGCCTGTAGGTGCTCCTGAACTGAGGTTTTTAGGCTGTACAACCATGGTGGGAGATTTCTCCAAAAAGACAGATGGCAGAAGGGACCCAAGAGAGGTTGAAACAGCGACTGTGGGGCATTCTTATTGGAAATGAGACCAGAATGAATCTTTCAAAAGGTTGTATTAAACCAGTTACAAAAATAGATCTCACCTGAACTTCTAGTTACCTGGAGGTTAGCCAGTGTCCTAACACTTTGAGGACCAACTGGTTCCTAAGCGTTTTGTTGAGGCTGTCTGCCTGCTGCTCGGGAAAGCAAGTCAGGACTCTTCCCTGCAATCAGTCCGAACGGGCCCTGTCCATCTGACCCATCTAGGAGATCTTCATTCTGTGTGCATCACTATGGAATCTGAGTTCCCTAGGGAGCCCTTTCCTTGTGAATTGCCACCTTCTGCTACCAAATCCTGATCCTTCCTTCAGGCTAGGAATGCAAGGCACAACTGGGGTTTAAGCAGAGCAGAGTACGTTGCTGACAGCTTACACAAATGGGAGAGTGAGCCTGGAAGCAGGGTAGCAGCATGAGGCTGCCCGGTTGCCAAGGAAGTGGAAGAGGAATATGAGGCTCGAAGGAAAGGGGAAGCAGAGTGGGAGGGACGGACTGAGATAGAAACTTCAGGATAAATATACAGAGAGTTCTATTTATTTAGCTTAGGTGTTTCCAAGGTGCCTATCACCTCACTGACCTGCTCCCCCACACGGCAGCCAGAAGCCCTCTTCCTTGTGGAACAGTCTCTTATCCTCTTAGTCTACGGGTTAAAATAACATCAAAAGTCTTGTCACACCCACAAAAGCAGCTGAGTGTAAATAAATGTAGGCAGCTCTTGCTTCTCAGTTCACCCTGTTACTGCAGCTGACTCACAGAGGACCTTAGGATACAGTAGCCTACAATACATACTCAAATCAGATTCACAATGTCTTGCTTTTGTGAGTTGAATTCAGTCCCCTAACGCTGTTTTAATATTGTTTTGGTATTACACGAGCCATTGCTACAGCTTCCAGCAACATCTTTATTCTTTTTCAAAATAATTATGCCTTAAATCATTACAAGTGTTTTTCAATCTGTTGCTTTGTGCAACTGCCTCCTTTTGAAAGTGTATGCTAATGTGGATTGCACTCTGAATGGCAGCATGGAAGAGCATCGGTATTGATGTGTAACGTATGATAGGGATTGGTGTTATTGGCACCGCTTCAACATGAATGTGGAGGGTTTTTTGTTTTGTTTTTCTTTCTTAAATTGAGGTCATGCCTGACAGCCAACAAGGGAGCATAACTGTTTGCTTGGCGTTTTGAATACTTACCCACACATTTATACATAATATATATTGTACAGTGCATTTCAGTAGCAAATGTTCCTCAGATATCCAAACATACATCTGCACTGGCTTCCCACTCATTTCATATCAATTCAAAAGTGCCTGCTTTGTTTTTAAAACTCTCCATGGAAATTCTTCAGCCCACCTCATTGACCTGGTCTGTCTCTGTCCTCCCGTTTATCTAGCACTGGCCTCCTCTTTGTCTGCTGTCTTGCCACTGTTGTGAAAGAACCTTCTCTTCTGGAGCGCCTGCCATCTGTTCGAGCCTTCATGTGCCTCTGTCAGCCTCATCCGTTCTCTCGCTCTTTTCAGATCTAATCTGAAAAAATATCTATTCTCTTTTACCTGTGCCTTTTAATTTCTCTCTCTTTCTATTTGCTCATAGGTACATAATGACTTCTGTTGAATATCCAAATATGATTGACCCAAGAGGAAATGTTTTCTTTGAGGGACAATAAAGCTTGATGTTTACTGAAGCAGGAAGTCAATGTGTATATATATTGTTACCTGTATTCAGAATGTCTCCATCAGAAATATCTGAAAATCTCTCTCACTTGACCATGAATTTAAACACTCATTTCCTTTGAAACTAACATTTGAAAGGTAAATTGAAGTTAGGCAGCTGGAAGGAGAAAGCAACTGTTTAGTTCCTGGGAGTTAAGTAATAGTTTTCACAGAATTTATTGCAGCCAGTGAGGATGCTCTCATTTGCTTGTCTGAGCTGTTTGGTTTATATTGTTATTGATCTCTTAGGAGGTCCTCAGGAAGTTGGTCTCATCACATGACTGTTTTCAGCCAATCTTGAGCCAGGATATTTCTCACCTATGTAGTAATATTCATTGTATAAAACTAGAAGGTGTTTTGCCAAATACGGGTGAATTGTAAAATGCAACCTGAAAACCCTTCTCCTCACTAGCCCACCCTTTATCCTGACAGTGCCTGCAGCATAAGGCTTTTCATCCTGACAAGCCACTGCCACCCATTGAACAGCATCTTTTAGAAATGTTGGAGATACCTCAAGAGGTGAGAGAAAGATGCCAGGCTCCTCTTGAAAAAATAAAGGCACTTTTTCCCCTGAAAGATGCTGGCAAGAAGAAAGAACAGAAGACTGCTCAAGATGTCTTCAAAGACAAGTAAGTTGAAGGGGTTTTTATGGATTTTAGTAAGCATTTCAGATCATTTTTGTTGAATATAGCAGGCTTGAAATCTTTTGTACATGAGACCAATCACTTGTGGATAGAATATCTTGTGATGCCAAACAGTCTGTAGATAGAGTACCTTGTTGTAGTGTGCTCTGCATGACTGTGTAGGATTTTTGGTTTTGTTTTTATTTTTTTGGTCCCAGTATCTAGTTCCCAGGGTGCAAGGGATTGTGAACTCTGTGGTCTGTGGAAACAACACACAAAGTTTCATGGGAACATCTGTGGGAAATGGAAAGGAGTCTAAAAAAATCTGGAGAACATGTACAATGTACATTGTTAACGAATGTATGTATTCGTTGTCGTATGAGTAGTAAGCAAATGGTTTGAATAAGGACAACAAAAGGTCTCGTTCAGTTTAAGATCATATGCATTATACCATGGAGATAGATAAATACTTCAGAGCTTTAAACTGGTTGTAAAAGAAGTCTTCCATCTTGGTATGCTGTTTACATTGTTCAGTAGCTTCTATCTGAATGCTAAGTCAAAGGAAAAGCAGCTTGATTTTCATAATATAGTCTGCTATGTTATATGCGTTAATTTCTTGAAAAACCAAGTCATTGTGGGCTCCTCCAACGACTTTTATTCAAATCAACAATTTTTAGAATAGAAATTGTTACTGCTGCTATTATTAACTATAATGTGTTTGCCTCACTTGTATTTGTACAGTTAATCCTTTTTCTCACAGCCCCCTGTGGGCTTTGCAGTCTGTCAGCTCTCTGGTTAGCTCAGATAGTCTTTCATCCGCTGGTGAAGGGTTCTCTGCAGCCATTTCCCTACGTTGTGCAGTAGAGCCCCTTCTGCCTGGCTGTTATGGGAAGACCACATTAAGACTTCTCCTGTCCCTGGTATCTAACCCAGGTTCTTCTTTGACCCTGGTCCTCTGCTTTTTCCTGCCTCTGTCTCAGGGATTCTTATGTCTGGATGCCTTTAGATTACATGCTTGCTCCTAGTCATATGAGTTACAACTATGACTCCCAATTTTCAATGGCCAGAGTCTGTAACAGATGAACGGATCACCCAAGGAGCAGTGCTCTGTTACAGGTATATTTACCTTTAAACTACAGTATACAGAGGTGGCATTAAATTTTGGGGTTCCTAGAGAGGCTGATCTTACGATGTGTGTGAGTCATCCTGCTCTCCTTGTCCCTAGTTCATGGTCTTCAAAGTGTAAACTTTCTGGGACAATGTCCCTAGTTGGAACAACCTCTTTCCTTTCCAGTTGCAATAGCAGGACCTACCTTCTGCCTACTATCACTGCCCTGGGAGAGCTGCTTCTGGTGTTGGAAGCCTTAAGAGCTGGTTCCCACAGCTGACTTATTTTCTCCCCTCCAGGAGATTTGATGGGCAGGTGCCTATTATTGTAAAGCACTGTGAAGATTCTGTCAAAGTGCTAAGTATTATTATTATTCTACCACCGTTATTGGAACCAAATAACTTTATTGATATAATTTAAGCTTCTGACCTAAACCATCTGAAAAGAGGAGATTTGGTCTGAAATCAACAAGATGAAATGCAATAAAGACAAGTGCATAGTACTTCAGTTAGGAAGGAAAAATCAAATGCACAACTGCAATAAATGCTTAGGTTGTAGTACTGCTGAAAAGGATCTGGAGATAATAGTGGATAGCCCATTGAATATGAGTCAGCATATTCAGAGTTGTGAGAGAGGCTGATATTCTGGGTGTATTAACGGGAGTGCCCTATGTAAGACACAGGAGGTAATTGACCTGTTCTGCTCCAGCTGAGGTCTCACTAAGGCCGAATACTGTGTGCAGTTCTGGGCACCACATTTTAGGAAAGATGTGGATAAACTGGAGAGAGTCCAGAGGAGAGCAACAAAAATGATAAAAGCATTAGAAAATCTGACCTATGAGGAAAGATTAAAAAAGTGGGTGCATTTAGTCTTGAGAGAGGAAGGCCGATGAGTGACCTGATAATAGTCTTTAAAGATATTCAGAGCTGTTAGAAAGAAAACGATGATCAGTTGTTCTCAATGTCCACTGAAGGTAGGACAAGAAGTTATGGAGTTAATCTCCAGCAAGGGAGATTTAGGTTAGATATTAGGAAAAACTGTCTAACTATAAGGATAGTTAAATTTTGGAATGGGCTTCCAAATGGAATCACATCATTGGAGGTTTTTAAGAACAGGTTGGACAGACACCTGTCAGGGATGGTCTGGGTTTACTTGGTCCTGCCTCAGTGAAGGGGGCTAGATTTGATGACCTCTCAAGGTCCCTTCCCACCCTACATTTCTGTGATTTGTAATTAGAGCATCACTGTGTTCCTAACTTCTTAGTGTTTATGGTACTGTAGGAGTTCTTAACTGAATCTGTCCTGTTCTGTATCATTGTATTTCAGTGTCTAGGCATAATGGGATGAATTGCACAGTGTGATGACCTTGGTTCTGAATGTCCTTCCTTTTGCCACTTTGAGTTAGTATCTGTAACATTTTTGTTTAGTAATAAATATTGAGAAGTAATTTTCAAAAATTCTCATTTAGTACTTTGTGCCCTTTATTTTATTTACTTATATTGAATATTCAGTTCCACTGGTCAGTAATATTCATCACTTCTTGTCCAAACCCAGATTGTTAAATACCTTGCTTTCTGTTTCATTCACTGCTTTGTTTGTGCCTGCTTGCTTTTGTGTTAGCAGTATGGCAAGGTTTATTAATTCAGGATTAGTGAATGCTGGTTCTTCCTTCCTGTGTCCCAACCAGTAATATAAATACTTGGTACTTTTAACGGGTCAGTTTCACAAAGCTGAAAATTATAAGCCAAATCAACTGGGAGAACAAATTTAAATGGAAAAATGTGAACAATAATGGGAAACTGTTTAAGAACATTTTACTAGATGCCCAAAAAGCCATAATCCCACAGGTGAAAAAGCTGGCCTAGTTTAGAGGGGAATTAAAGCAGCCAAGAAAAAAATCAGTGTTTAACAAATAGAAAAAGGGAACGTTGGCAGCAAAGAAAAATCTATTGCAGCAGATTTAAGGACAACAAGAAAGTTTTTAAAATATATCAGAAACAAAAGACATTCTGCTACTGGTCTATTACTAGATGTGTCCAGTTCCTCTCTACTGCTGAGCCACCAGCGGTGGATCCCCTGCTCATTAATTGTTGGTACAAGAGTTGTGGTGGATTCCACATCACTGGAAATATTTAAATCAGGATTGGATATTTTTCTAAAAGATATGCTCTAGCTCAGCTATTAGATTTGAAGCAGGAATTAATTTAGGGAAGTCCTATGGATTGTGTTACGCAGGAGGTCAGACTATTTGATCACCATTGACCCTTTTAGCCTTAAAATTAATGAAACTGTGAGAGAGATTTCTATTTCAAACTCACTAAAATTCAGAAACCTAAACTCCTGGTATTAAGGAGAAGATGCACAGTGCCATTAAACATTTGGTTTTGATTTGAAAGAAACAGTACATTTTTCTTTGATCTAAATGTAAGTGCTGTTTGTACAGTACTTTGCGTGTTGAGTGAGCTTATATCTGATTGTTTATCACTGTCTTTTAAATAAGGCGTTATGTGATGTCATCAGTACAGTTAGGACATTCCTTGGAGGGAAAAGTCCCAATATTGGCAATATAGTCCAGTGGACTAGATCCTGGACTTGCAGCCAGGAGATTGGGCTCTGTTCCTGTTTGTATCACTGACTCTGTGATATCTTGGCCAAGTCATTTAACCTCTTTGCTTTTTAGTGTCTCCACCTGTAAAACAGGGATAATGACCCTTGTTCAACTTTGTATGACTCTTTGACATCTACAGATGCGCAATGTTGTTGTTGTTGTTATGAATCCCCAATACTATTCATGCAGCTTCTAGGTTTTTTATTCGATGTCTCCCATCCACGTGTTTACCTGATTCACCTCTGCTTAGTTTTTGAGATCTGATGGGATCACAGTATAATGGTGGTATGGACTAGAGGCAAGCTATGTTAATGTAGATTTTAACATTCAGCATTCATTAAGCAGTTTCTCTTTTGTTGAGCCCTAAATGGTAAGAAGTTCAGTAAAACAGAAATTTCCCTTTTTCTTCCGTGGGTTTGCAATGAAGAGGTAGGAGCCACCCCAACCTCAGTTTGGGAAAAGCTGCTATATAAACTTAGAAGTGGGTATAATATTCCAGCCTTTAAATTAATCTTAAATGTGCACTTCATTAATTTTTCTTAAATATTTTTACATTTCTAAAATGCAGTTAGCTAATCAGTATATTACGAGTAACAGATAAAGTTTAAGAGCCACATCTTCAGCTAATGTAAACTGGTATGTGACCATTGGCTTCAGCTGAATTACACTGATTTACACTAGCTGAGGATCTGGCCCTAAGTTTAAATACAACTTTATTTTTTTCATAGCATCTATCATACTCGTAATATCCCAAAACACTTAACAGCATTAAAAATAATGGCAGAGGGACAAAGAAAAAATGAAGCACTCTCAAGGGTGAAAGCATGTTTTCAGAGCAGATTTTAAGAGAACATTGCACTGCTATATTGCCTTTCATTCAAGGATCCAAACACTCTTTAATACATTAATTAACTTACCAGGCCATAACCTATGCTGTATTAGGTGAGTATTACTTTCTCCATTTTACAGACGAGTATATGGAGGCATAGAGTGATTAAGCAGTTTTCCCCAGTGTTGCTTGATATAATGTGCCAAACTTTTACAGTGAGTGAGAAGCAAGGCTATGTCAGATGACAGGAGGTGCAAAGGACGAAGGATTTTATCCCAAGAGTGACAAAATTAAGTGAAGGGACAAAGAAGACCAGTGATAAAATTGAGGGAGAAAAGTAGAGATAGGCATGGTCTGAGATGTAGGTAGGAGCTCACTTTGGAGGGTGGTAAAGATGAGGGTTGGAGTTACCTTTCATATTCACGTGATTTTTAAAGCCAGTTTCCAGTTGCTAAGAATGCAAAACAATGCCTGGCCTAGTGTCTTTTTCTTGTCCTTATCTTTTCAAGAATCTGATTTTCTGTTCTGCGGTTTCAGGATTTTTCAGAATAACACTTTTATTTGATTCTATTTTGGGTTTCTATGAACAACTATTAACAGTAATTGATGTCTAATTCACAATATTTGTAATCATTCAGCAGCTTTGTCATTCTTACCTCAAATTGATTGTCCTGTTTCAATAGCCTCATACATTTATGCTTAAGAGCAAAGAACAGAATTATACACATCTTTGATTTTTCCCGTTATTATTAACTTGATTTTCTTCTCCCATCCCTAAGATGTGCTGTTAAAGTTTGCTGTATTATTTTAGGCGACAAAATTCATTCTTCTGTTTGAGTCTTCACCTTGGAATATGTTATCTGTGAGGACAAAGTTAGAAAATGGCCTAAAACCATAATTAATTTAAAAAAATTAAAACTTGTCTTTTGAAAGTATTTTCAGATATAGTTTAAGGTCGTTCTGAGAGAGAGCTCACTCCCATACCTAATTGCGGTTTGTCTAGTAAGTTTTGACAGCTGTAAGTGGAAGTTGATAAAGCTCTAGAGTACACTGATGGAGAAGATGGGTTATTAGACTCTCAGCTCTCTGTGTACACAGATATCTAATAGCTATCAATTCCATGACAGGAACTAGCAAATAATATTTGAAGGGTAAATGGATTTCTTACTTAAATGTTAAGTTTCCATTACCCGCTCTGGCAATTTCATCTTTAAAAGGAATATGATGTGAATGCTAATGATCACGAATATGCTATAAAATGAAGCGGGGTTGCCTTAGCATGTGGACTTCCACATAATGGGTCTGGCAGTATCCCACATTCCTGGTGGTAGGAAAAAGTCTTTTATCCAAATTCAACCCTAGGATAGTTGGGCACATAATCCATTGACTTCAGTGAGGGTTGCTCTTGCTTACACAAAGGTTGATTTTGATTAATTGTTTCTGCTGGGGCGTGCCCTCTCCTCCTGTCTGCTGTAGGAAGAATAAGGTATGGAGATTTAGGTTAGATATTAGGAAAATCTTTCTAACTATAAGGGTAGTTAAGTTCTGGAATAGGCTTCCAAAGGAGGCTGTGGGATCTCCATCATTGGAGCTTTTTAAGAATAGGTTGGATAAACACCTGCCAGAGATGGTCTAGGTATATTTTGTCATGCCTCAGTACAGGGGGCTGGACTTGATGACCTCTCAACATCCTTTCCTGCCCTACATTTCTATCATTATATGGTTTGTCCATAGGGTGGAGACAATCATACAACAAAAGTGTCACCCTGGTCTTCTCTTTTCATCATATATTGCACAAACACACTCACTTGTTGCTCAGGCAGGAGGTTGATTTGTTTTGATTTGCTGCATTTAGTTTTTTGTCATCTTCACTTCCAGCAATGAAGATGGACCCAGTACTAAAAAGGCAAACGCTGAAAATGAAGAAGGCAGCTTTAGCATCGCAAACCTTGCTGAAGGCAATGTCACCACTGTAAGCACATCTTTACAAATCCTCTCTTTCATGGGAAAGAATCATTCTAGACCTTCCCTTGGGGACTCTTTCTATATTAATGGAGATATAGAAATACATTTGATGGAGAATTACTTTCTGCTGGATGTAAAATGAACTGACTAGCCCTGTTCTTGTATATATCTGAATGTAGTAGCCAGCTAGTTCTGACTGCTTTTAAGGCAAAATTCTTCCTTCCCAACATGCATGAAACTCCCAAGCGCTATTCCATAGGTGTAAGATAAATAGAATTTCAGAACTGAGATTCACTGTTAGATACAAGAGCAGAATTTGCTCTTAGTTTTCTCTTGTATCTGCTGCTTTAAAAAGCAAAATAAAACCCTTCATATTCCGCTTTTTCCAAATGTTGCTATGATTTCAGAGCCTGTTGTCTATATTGTTTGGGGATACAAATCACAAAATTGGTTTAATTCTGCCACCAAAGTTAAACAGTTAAATTAGCTTCCTATCTGTTAAGCTTCATTGGCATGCAAGTATGTGTCGGAGCTATGCATCTTCCTTTGCTTGCCTGATTTTGGAATCAGAGAAAAATAGTTATTTTATATAAATTAAGATAAAAGAATATCTCAGTTCTTTTCAACACTTGAAATGTATGACATGATTTAAAAAGAAAGAGGGCAGTGCTCATTTCACACCCAACATAAAAATCAGATTTTTTAATAGCATAGCATATAATATACTTTTGAAAAATGAGGGGGAAAAAACACCCCACTAACAGATGGGCTTTCAAAGAAGCAATTTATTAGAAGATCTGTGTGAGAAATGTTTGCTTGTAAAGCATTAAAATATAAAATAAATTTAGAAGAATTTTGACTCACTGTTTAGGGAGCAGAATTTAAACACACCTTTTCCCTGAAGCCAAAATGGGTATGGTGATGTAGGGGGAGATTACATATAGAATATAATCAGAAGACACTCAGAGGGAAAGTATTATAGGATGCAGGCAGCAAGTGGATGGGCTACATAGCCTTTTTCTATTCCCAGACCTTTACTGTGAAAGTTACTTGCAACCTAAAAAATTATATACCTTTTCCTTGCATTCTTTTCAGTTTGCTATTAGAATATTTGTTAGAATACTAGGGGCCAAGTACTTCCCTCAGACCCACAAGCCAGTACTTAGCAGAAGGCAGAATTTGGCCTTAAAGACGAATACAATGTTGTGGGTTAGATTGATTAAGTAGAGAACAGAGCCAAGAGCATTTCTCCTCTATCTTCAGAACAGAGGAGCCTTTCTAAGAGAAGAAGACTGACCGTATATTTTGTTGTGACTCAGAGTTAATGTAGTATGCTGGAAAATGGATGCTAAGCAGCGTAGATTCGTATGTCTGTAGCTCTTCTGCCCATTTGCGCAGTGAATCTTTCTTTGTGCCTGACCTGCTTTTAGTTCCCTTAGATGGTGTGAGGTCTCTGCACTTACAGGCTTTCTCAAAGCGTCAGTTCTGAAATGTCAGACTGGACCAGAAAGGGCAGCAGCTAGCTGAATTGAGTATTAGCTTTTCATTGCCAGTGTCTTATTGGAGGGCCAAACCAACTACTCTGTACCCACATTGCTAAGAACTCTCACTCCTAATTAAGCATGGGTTAGGATGAATAAGCTACAAAAAGTCTGAAAGCTGAACTAGCCAGCAGCCTGAATTCCTGTACCTCTGACTTCCAGCGCCTAGAGAATGTGATCAGTTCATAGTAGGGAAGTATAGTAAGTGTAAGTTCATCTTGTATAGCTGTTCATGTCAAAACTAGCCTTTGATCAGGGTTAACATTGCATCCTAAGAATTGTCCTTTATTTGACCCCATAATAGCAAAAAATGTAGCTTCTCCATCCATATTGAAATAAATTGATTGTAAATATTTCTGTTGATATACAGGAGGAAACGGGAGCTATGCATTGGCATGTAGTATAATCATTCCTCGATCTTTTGTAGGTTGGAAGTATTAACCCAGCAGAAAACTTCTGTGTTCTTGTGAGGCAGAAGAATGCTAACTTCAAGGAAGGTAAGTTGCTTTTATCTGCCTTAACTCTATGTAACAGTATCTTCAGTGTTCAGATGTCCATAACAGAAAAACCATCACCACAGTTGGCACTAATTGGCCCTCTTGTTGATAGCCTCAGCTGAGGGCAGGGATTGTGTGAACTGGATAAACTGAACATTCTGCTCATTGATGGAGAAGTGGTTTTTCTGGATCGGGATTGAGGCATGTTGGCAGGACAGCATGTGAGAAGTCTGTCCGGCTACTGCTGATTTATCCTGTGCTGTGAAGAAATAAGAATTTAGTCTCTAATAATCTGCATAAATAAATAGGTTTCAGAGTAGCAGCCGTGTTAGTCTGTAGCCGCAAAAAGAACAGGAGTACTTGCGGCACCTTAGAGACAAATTTATTTGAGCATAAGCTTCCGATGAAGTGAGCTGTAGCCCAGGAAAGCTTATGCTCAAATAAATTTGTTAGTCTCTAAGGTGCCACAAGTACTCCTATAAATAAATAGGTATCCCCTATTACAGTGGGTCTCAAACTTTTTTTACTGGTGACCCCTTTCATATCACAAGCCTCTGAGTGCGACCCCCCTAATAAATTAAACACCCTTTTAAATATATTTAACACCATTATAAATGCTGGAGGCAAGCAGGGTTTGGGATGGAAGTTGACAGCTCGCGACCCCCCCATGTATTGACCTCGTGACCCCCTGAGGGGTCCCAACCCCCAGTTTGAGAACCCCTGCCCTATTACTCTTGTGAGTGAGTGAATGAGGATAGGTGGATTTAGGGGAGAAGTGAAAGTAAGAGTATGAATAACTAGCTAGTATATGAATGATGGAGATAGGAAGGCAGCACTTGTATGTATTAAATGTGCACTCAATCAGCCTCTTATTCAGCACACACAAAAGAAAAGAAGGGGGACATGATATAGAGGCGAGAGGAAGTGCAGACTGCAGTGACCAATCCATTGACTGTGATATTTGCATGTCCCGATCTTGAAAATCCAAGTACAATTTCCTCTGTGTTTACGCCATTTCCCTCCCCTCACCCCCCTGGGATTGGCCGTCATTTTTGCATGATCCCTAGCAATCCTGAAAATATTCATGGACCAGTTACAGTGGAATGAGTAAAAGACTTAGAGCTGCAAACGAGACCCAACCTGGAGTACAATGAGAAGAGTGATCCTGTACCAAGGCGCAGACAGGTGCAGCGGTTTCAGGTGGTGCCTCCCAGAAAATGTGAAAGGGACCCTCTGTCTCTGAAAACCTTGGCTTTCAGGAGTGGGCAGAATGAGTTCAGAATTGGTCTTCTCTTTTTAGCATTTGGGAACCTGCTCTTTCGCATCAAAGCCCCCTTCTGGTGACTGATAGTGATTGCATGTTAGGAACAGTGTAAGTGAGAAAGAAACTGCTTTGAAATACTGGGAAATGAGAGAATCTACTATTTTTAGCAGGAGGGGATTGGGGAAAGATTTTCACTTATTTTGGATCATGAATTCCTTCTATGACACCTTGCTTTCCCTTTCCCCCCCACGATCCATTTGTTGGGACTGGTTGTGCTTTTCTCCTGCCCAGGGAAACACAGGGTTCCTAACTTGGATGCTGCCCCAGTAGGAGGTACTTTATTGGATTTGCAGGTGGCCTCTAGACTGGTGGTGGTCAAAGTGCAGCCCATAGAGTTGTACAAGGAGGCTCATGGTTGACAGCCTTTTTATGGATGTTTGGCTGCTGGAAGCTACATTCTTGGGATGCATTCGTTGTACCATCTTGATCCAAGCAGCCAGGTCTCTTTTCTGACCTGGGCAGTCTCCCACAACCACACCTCCATATTAAGGAAGGCAATTTCAGGCTACTCTGTTTTTTGCGAAATAAATGCAGCAGTCAAGATGAGCAGCGGTAAAGCAGAATAGCTACCAAAATGCACGGAATGTCACAGTTAGATGTGCTGATATAAAAGCATATAAGGTCACTGTTAAGATTTTGCATTATAGTGTAAGTTGGATGAAGTTGGGTATGTATTGCTGCCTCTAGGAGATAGACGTGAAAGCCTTATGGAGGGTGTTAACAATAGTGTTTGAGGCAAAATGAAGATGGAAAGGGCTGCACAAGTTTTTCTGCTTATTATTTTCATTCTTTTAAGGTTTTGAGTAGATGAGGTATGTCCTGCCACAACCTATTGCCACTAAATATAGTGTCTGTTTGCTAATCAAAACAAAAGGTATCTGCACAGTGTAGTTCATGGGTATTTCACTCAGTTCTTTGCACCTTTTAAACATAGATTGTTGTGTATGCTAAGATGTACCGGTATATTAATTTATGAATACTGTCTGTTAAAGCTGATATCGCAGTTTATTGCCCAGAATTTTGATAGTTAAAACTCACTTAAATTATAAACAAATGTCCTGTTTTTTAAAATGGTTTTTAATTCAAGCAAACAGCAGAAATCCCCTCATTAAGAAATTGTATTTGACATCGTACTTCCAAACCTCAGATACATCAAAATGCAGTGGACTATACTGTAGGTCAAAGTGGAATCCAAATAAAAACCATAAATAAAATACTCTGTTGCAGCAATTAAGTAAATCATACAGGAAAGGGATTTAAGCCACAAATACTAAAATCTGCATAATAGACATATTGAAAACTATTTATATTTAAGGTTATATTTAAACTTGTCCGTTATTCAGTAGCTGTCCCCGAAATGGTTGCCATCTGTGTTTGGATGGTTTTTGTCACTTCCAGCAATCTGCCTTCATTTTGTGTATGATATGGCCTATAATTACAGGATATGGTTATATGGAATGTAGTTCAGATACCCATTAAGGAAGAGAGATGGGAGACACTGTAAATAAAAACATTTTCAGCACATTCATTTTTCTTCTTTAAAGCCCTTAATAGTAGCTTGATATATAAAAAAATTACAGACATACTTTTTAATGGCTTGATATATTGCTTTCTTGTGGTGTATAATAGTGGACCCTGCCTTAAACCTGCTGAATAGTTTTGGATTTTTATACTTTTGATATCATACTTCAGGAGGGAAATATTTTTTTCTTGAAGAAAATGTGAAATGTAAAGCCCCCATGCAGAGAAAGATATATTATGTGGCATTCAAATAGTTTATTGAAAAAAGTAACCAGATACCAACCTGCATTTAATTATTTTAAAATTTTACATAAAAATGAGAAGAGAGAGTTTGTGCTCTATTTTGCTTCTTTATGAGGTAGAAAGACTGCCCGAGAGTCTTCCGTGCTAGGCAGAATCTCAATTTCTAATGAAAAATTAAGAAAAAAAATGAGGAATAAAAAAAATCCTGTGATGACTGAAGATCCAGTCAGTCAAATGATGACTTTGCAAGAGCCAAGAGAGTAAAAGTGGAACTATTAAGAGGAGAAAGGATTTTTAATCAGACTGTTTTAATATTTTGGAGAAAGGAAGGTATTTTTTAGACATTGAAGTTATATAGGTGTTAAAAAAGTAGTATTTTAAAGATCAGCCACGCCACCACCTCCTTTCTCCATTATTAAGGTGAGGACACTAATGATACACATCTTATACCATCCCCATCAAGTTCTCCAGTAAAACCGTTGAAGCCTGGACCTGATGTTTCTGGTATTTCCCAGGTTAAAACAACAACAACAAACCCCCAAACATGAAAAAACCCTGCCGAAAGGCTTGACAGGATTTTTTTTTTTAAAGAAGCGAAGAAGGGTACAAGCTGGTCCTGTGCAGTGACTACACTAGCACTTTGAAGCTATTGCACCTTGCAAGAGTGGGCTCTAGCTTTGTGGCATTCATAGAAGAAAGCAGTGTGCATGCTAAGTAAACAGAGGGCCATGTGCCGAGTTTCACAGTATACACAATGTGTAACCCTTTTAGCTAGCAGAAGGCAGCTCATTGAAAGTATATGTATCTATTGGGGATGATTAGAGAATGTCCTGATTTCAGACAGGCACAAGGGTTATCCCAATTTCAAATAGGCAGGGGCAGAAGCGCTTTCTGAGACTGGCACTCCAATTTGTTGTCAAACCATAATCATCTTCACTTTGTAATGGAAGCGTGTGTGGTTTGTCGCTGTACAGTGCCACTAGTGGCTGACATGATCTGCTGTATTTGAGGAGGCCGACTTACTGGTGTGATAATTATTGCGGATGAAGCTGGCATTTTTCATTGTGTTTTTTTCAGATAGCTTCACTCTCTCGTTTACTGTTCGAGACACAAAGATGTCATTTTATGCAGGTCTTGCTCAGAGTAGGTTACAAGTGCTCAGTCATCCACAAAGAGCAGTTCCTCTAATAAGAGCTTCTGACAACTTTGTCAGTGCATGCAAATAAAATAGATTAGTTTGTCTGAGTGAAATCTAATCTTTACTCCAGGGATAGATCACGAGTTGCTTCATCTACCATTGCTTCAAAGAAAAGTCTAAAACACACCAGGGACATTATGCACCCTGCCATCATTATAGTGCCAAAAGGATTGAACATCATTTTACCTGGATAGACTTTTACAAGCATGCTGTCTATTCTCCAATTGTTGGATAATAGCGGACATCTTATCCTGGCAGCCATATTTTCTTATAAGCCCCCAGAGACTAGGGTTGCTGACAGACTTGAGTTAGATTGATAAAAGAATGTGCATAGGTCTTTTGTTTTGTTCTGTGAATTTTCCTTGCAATTGGTTCGCATCAAAAATCTTATCAGACAGCCTGCATTGTGGCCAAAACACACAGTGCTGATTCTGGCACTGTGGTGTCTGATGTCCAGCAATCAGATTAGATTAGAAGTACTTTCAGTATTCTCCTAGTAAAGCGGTGTTGCTGCAATTACAGCTGTGGAATTTATGGTGAAGAGCACTATAGAAATGCCTAGAAAGAATTAGTAATACCACTGTCACTCTTTGAGTCTTTGTGCTTGTTGCAATGTTGTCAATTTTTCTTACTCCCAGACGTTGCAGAGAAATGACATTAGAGAGTCAATCAGTGCATCACATCCACATGTGTAGATCCCAGCAAGTATCCTAT